ATATATGATATATCATTTGTGTTGATTATATACCATATAGTATAGTAGTGACCATATTGGTAGATGAAAGAATAAAATGAAACATGCTAGTGTTTTTGTAGTTGAATTTATTTATTATGACATAAGTCATTTTGATGCACTACTTTACTGAATTGGTTGTTTGTAGTAGATGTATATTTAAATAACCATATTGATTAAAAATATGTAATATTGATTAGGATGGAATGATTTTGTATAGTTATAGATTGGTGTACGACATATATCAATAAACTATAATTTGTGTAGATTATGATGTAGAATGTGTGATAATTCTTTAATTTTATCATAATTGTAAAATTTGTATTTATATAGTATAAAATTATTTTTATGTAAGCATTTGAAAATATTTGAGTAAATCATATTTTCATTGTATCCATTGTAAATAAGTAAATTTCGTAGCTGTATTATTTTTTTGATAAAATCGTCAAGATAAGTGCAAGTACGGGCAATTCTTAAAGTTTCTGTGTAAATAATTGCGTTTTTGATGTGTTTGGATACACCAGAACTAATGCGTATGAATCTTTTTACTTGAAAAGGGAAACTACCAGTTTTGTTATACATTTTGGTTATGATTTTGTCATTAATGATTGTAATATGTAAGTCTAAATAATTACATTGTAAATCTTATATATAAAGCTGAATGTCTGTTTGTCTGTATGTATGTATGTATGTATGTATGTATGTATGTATGTATGTATGTACACATACACTTCGGGCCCCGGCGGGTGTCACAGTCCACTTTTCGTCATCGATCGATATCGATTTTATCGATTTTTATCGATTTTTTTTGCTGAGTTCACCTACGGGGCTGGGAGTTGGCACAGGGGGGTAATCGAGCATGGGGATTCCGAATACAATATTGGTTTTTGGGATTATCGATTACTTTTATCGATTTTATCGATTTTTTTTTGCAAAGTTTGAGCTAGGGGGCTGAAAGTTGGCACAGGGGGGTAATCGAGCATGCTGATCATCCCAAGGGGGGTGATCAGCATGCTCGATTACACCCCTGTGCCAGAATCCAGTCCCCTAGCTCAAATTTTCAAAAAATCGATAAAATCGATAAAAGTAATGGACGATCTTGAAAACTAATATTGTATTCGTAATCTGCATGCTCGATTACCCCCCTGTGCAAACCCCCAGCCTCGCATGTCAAAATTTACAAAAAATCGATAAAATCAATGAAAGTAATCGATAATTCTGAAAACTAATTGTATTCGGAATCCCCATGCTCACTTCCCCCCCTGTGCCAACTCCTAGCCCTGTAGGGGAACTCTGCAAAAAAATCGATAAAAATCGGTAAAATCGACATTGATCGATAACGAAAAGTGGACTGTGACACCCGCCGGGACCGAAGTGTATGTGTGCCAAGTTTGGTGTCCGGATACGGCGGAGCCGGGTAAGCCAGCTAGTTATCTATATGAGTAGTTTCCAAACTTAGTTTGTTATCATATATGTTTTTGATTATATTATGAATTGTATGTTCTATGCTATTGTGTATGATTAATAGATCATCCATATAACGAAATGCAAAAAGTTCTTTATTGTTATTTACTTTATTAATTATATACTTGTATTCATACCAAGGTAGTGTCAAGTCTGCTAATAATGGACCAAAATTACCGCCCTGTGGCACACCTATTTTTTGTTTAAAAATGTATGTGCTAAATCTGCAAAAACTGTTATCAAGAATATAATCAATATAATACAATAAATCTGAAATAGTGTAATTTCTGTAGCTAGATTTTGTGTTTATATTATCGGTGTAGTATATTTTGTTGAATCCATTATAAATTAGATATTTTTTGTTTGCATTTTTAAAGCATAACTAGTTGGCAAACCCGGCTCCGCCCGGCCCTTTCAATAACATATTTGTAATCAGCATGCTCGATTACCCCCCTGTGCCAACTCCCAGCCACGTAGCCCAAACTTTGCAAAAAATCAATAAAATCGATATCGATCGATAATGAAAAGTAGCCTATGACACGCTCCCTGCCCCAAAGCATATGTGTGCCAAGTTTGGTCTAAATCGGTTCAAAAATAAAAATTTCTATTCCGCACATACGTACATACAGACATACATACATACATTCAGCTTTATATATAAGATTTGAGAAGTTCTTTGAGGTTGGTTTTTATTATGTCATGTGGTAGGCTAGTAAACATATTTGTAGAATCAGCTGAGTATAATTGCAAGTTATTCATGTTGATACTGGATAATTTATCACTGATGTTAGTGTTGTCTATTGACCAATAATTATATGAACTTTGTTTTTTATATTTAATCGCTTGTACATAGTTTTTAAAATGTATTTTTATGTGTTGAAATACACATTGTAATTCTAAAGCAAGGGGTTTAATGCTACTGTGTGTAGCTCCAGCTGTAGCTCTTACATTTGTTAATAAAGGTTTAATGACCCAAGTTTAAGCTAATCTCTCCCGTGCACAATTCCGTCGATTTAAAAACCCGCGTGGCAACAACGACCACTGTACACCGATCTCTATTTATTATACTCAAAAAAATTTTGATGTAAAATTGTAAATTAACTACTGACCAAAGGCTGGCTTACAGTATTCAAGCAATTATATTTGACGATCTACCTCAGCAGCCTCGAAAAGCGAGAAAAAAAAATTAAGCTAAGAATGTTGTCGCTGAGCTTTGCATCAATGCATCATTCTCATTTTTGCAATGAAGTTGGAAAGCCTAACTCTCTGGCATTCGCAGTTTGATAACTAGTGGCGCCACGATAAAGAAAGGATCCAGAGGTGGAAGACGTCTAACTCTGTTCAAACTAGTGATTGATTGCACAGATTTCGTTTCTGGAGTAGTTGCAGCCCAACTCATAATAAAGAAATGTAGATCTTGAAGATTTTGATGCAAATAGAATTGAAAGGATGCATTGTAGCGTGCGCTGTTATGAATGAGCAGAAGCAACCCGAAAACATAGCATAGTTTCGCATTCTTGGCTCTATTGAGTTCGAAAACATAACAACCAACTGAAGTTCGAAGTTAAAAAGAGGGGAAGTTGGAAAAAGAATGGAAGTATTCTTGTTCTGATCTCAGCAATTCATGATGTTGCGTTTGTTTAGGAAAAAATGACATGCCTTAAATTTCCTTTTTATCCACTAGAATAAGAAGTGTTGTGTATGAATTGGTTGGGTCAATTGAAACTTCAGGAATAAATCTTAAGGAATCAGAAAAAATCATTGTTGGATTATACCAATCTTTACGTCTTACGATCTACTTGGTTCAGAATGAATGAAACTAAATGAGGCATGCAGAATACTCGATTAAGCTTTAACGCTGCTTAGCCGAGGTACGACTAGTAGGTTTTGTTTGGGGAATGAATAAATAAACAGAATAATCGCTATCACTTGTCTGAAATGACAACAGTCATTGAGGTGAACAGAAATTAAGTTGATTAGGTCTTGACTTATGAAAAGGAGACCTTGACTAGGGAAGCTTTGAAGGATTTCTGGATATCTGCAAAGAGTCCAGAAATAAACACTAAAAGTGAGTGCTTGTCAATAACATCTCGGTTCCTTCCGTTCACATAGTTATGTGGTCTGTAGACATTCGATATCCGCTTATGTATAGTCTACTCCTTTTGCCACATCATTTTCAGTTCGGAATACCATAAACAGCAAATCTCGGTATGTTCATTTCTGTCCTGACGATTCTTATGGTACGAAAGCTGAGAGAAGGTCGAGAACTTGTAGGGCAAAGAGAGATGTTTGATCACTTGGAACCACGGATGACGTTTTGAATCACTTTCAGGCTTTTGAGAAAGACGAAGGCATCGAAATGTCAGGCCGTGATTGGAATCAATAAAGGGTGCTATTCCAGTATCCGGGTCCCAAAATTTTTTTGCATGGATTTTACTGAATCTTAGCCCACAGCGGTTATTCGGCCCGCTGATGCCAATACCATATTGGTTTTGTACCATAGCGTCATTTTCTCGAGTTACGGCAGGTTTACGGTAAGGGGTCAAAATTCCAGAATTTGCTGAAACTTGACGCAGGGGTGTTATTCGGCCCGCTGATGCCAAATATCACCTTGGTTTTGTACCATAGCGCCATTTTCCCGAGTTACGGTAAATACACGGTGACGGGTGAAAAACCTACTTCTGCCTGAAACGGGTGTACGGCGATTCGGACGAATGTGAAGCTTTGCATACACACCACCGCCGCGCGCTACACACCCTGCTGCGGCTTTTGCCTAAGCAAAGCACAGGGAGAAGATACATTTGCCGAATCGTGATTTTGACCCCTATCGTAAACCTACCGTAACCGTGCAGGGAGACGTTTTCGTGCGGAGAAAGTGTGATATTTCTAATCAGCATTTCGAATAACCCCTCTGTGCGAAGTTACAGCGAATTTTGAGATTTTAAACCCACACCGTGCACCTACCGTAACTCGAGAAAATGACGCTATGGTACAAAACCAATATGGTATTGGCATCAGCGGGCCGAATAACCGCTGTGGGCCAAGTTTCAGCAAAATCCATGTTAAAAAAATTTTGGGGCCCGGATACTGGAATAACGCCCAATAAAGACTATTTATAAAACCTATGTGGTTCAAAACACTTGAAGAAATTACAGTTCTCATCCAATAAAACTTATAACTATGGCCACTTTTATAGGATTTGTATAATACTTTTAGGCTCATTATAAGAGACCAGCGCGTCACCTCCGCTTCGCGGAGGTTCGCACACTGGCTCTGCTATCCGTATGCCTTATTCATGTTTCAAAAATTATGACTTTGAAACCCACCGCGCGAGGCTGTATATCATAAATGAATTGTAAACAACTGTTCTTTCTTGAAGCATCTCCATGTAAGATCGGTATTTTTGAGAAAGAAAACTTTTTTGCCAAGGAATAAATACGAATTCGAATAGATTACTGAATTTATTTTGGCTTGATAGTTGTTATAAAGATAATAGTCATTTTGGGCTACATTTCCATGCAAAAATCTTTTCAGATATTTATGTATAACCTTGTCAAATCGACTCTCTACGCGATCACTACAACAATTTTATCTGATTGAAGCAAATATCGAATGTACTACATATCTAAGCGCTCAGTTCAAACACTCTACAGTCTCTCCTTTCGGCATAGCACCAAGTTTGATCATTCCAACGTTGTATGAAAATTGTGGATAACGGCCATGAACCACGTAGGCGCTCGGAACTTCGATTCCTATCTTCTTGTAGCAAGGCTGAACATTTTCGAGTTCGAAGTTGTAAAGAAAATATCGCTTCAAGTGTGCTTACTCCATGATAATTGCATTTGTGATAGATGTAGAGTTTGGGATCGATTGTAGTGATTTGTCGTTTGCCTCCGTACAAATAGAAGCTGCCAGCCTTATCGGTTTTTCCTTCGTCCAATTCCGTATCGAAAACTAAACCGTTCTTATGACTCTTGAAAAAAAATGAGTTATGAATGCAAATCTGGTGATGTTGGCGTATTGAAACCGGTAGTTATAACCATTATTTGATACTCTTGAAGACCTCTATTTCGAAATAAACAATTTTTTGCAGCGGAAAATTAGAGCAGTAAGTTTCTTTCTATTGGTATGTGCAGGATGCCAGTATTTGCCCTTTGCTTCAATCAGATCGGCGGTTGGAAGGCGGGGCTCCGTGACCCAATTAAGGCTAGAAAATGATCAGAGAGCATATTCTCGAGAGAGGTGCAGACTGTGTCGTGTTCGCTAGCAGTTGCCTCCTAGGTCATGAAGCTCCGCCTTCCAGCAGCCAATCTGGTTGAAACAAAGGGTACATTTATTGAGGAACTTTTTTGAAAATAGAAGAATTTTCAGATTTCTGTCGTTGTTTTCAGTACTAATGGTGTTTATGTGTGATTATTACCATACTCAGGGCATCAGGTGTGGCAGCAATTTCTTGGAGGTTAAGAGGAGAGGTGAATAGGCGAAACAGCCGAATTTTCAAAGTAACTCAGCAGCTATATTTCGGAAATTTTGGGAAAGAAAAGAAGAGGGATTTTCTTTGCATACTAAATCACTTTAGAATATTAACAGCCAATTTTCGAAAATAGGGAGTATCAAATGTACATGAAATAGGAACGCTTTTTCCTGTCTTTTAACTTTGTTCCTTCGAGTATTAAGCAAAGAAAGAGAAGATTAAGATTTCTTGAAAAATATATGTGCAAAAATCAAAAATATTCAAGATTTTACGAGCAATATGAATAACCTTTCATTCGGCTTGAACTTGATTGAGGCCGCTCGCGCCTGCGACGCAGTCTGCGTCTCTCTCGCGCGCGTGTTCTCTGATCATTACCTAGCCTTAATTAGGTCACGAAGCTCCGCCTTCTAGTCGCCAAGCCAGAATCAATGGGTACGTGCATCGCACACATTGAGCTACGCAATAAATTCGATTTATTCGACTTTATCCCCTCTGATGATTCGAGTTCTATGGAGATGACTCAGCTCTTGGAACTTCGTAGTTTAAGGAAACAAAAGGATTTTAATTTGGATCGCGTAGATTTTATCAATTTTCTCTGAACTAATTCCTTACATATTTCTTTTTCGTTGAGTTTTACCGCAACGCCTGACATTGGTGAACCATTGCATTCAACTGCGCCCGTCACTGCCACAGACTGCATTCGGCCAATTACTCCAAAGAGACCTTCGGCTTGGTTGAGGAGAGCGGCCGTTACTAGCAGAAGCAAATACAAAGATTGCATCTGAAAATGTGAACAGAAAATAGATAAATCGCATCATAAAAATTTTACAAATAGATGATCAAATATAGAACTGGTGCTAACTTTGAGCTTAGTCAAGTAAATGTGGAAAAATGCGGGCAAGTGCTGGAGAAAAGTATGTAGAGCTTTTATATACCGACATGTTTGGTTGTTTGTATATATTAACGCATAAGCATTTTTTCTGGAATTTTCCAAAGTCAATCGGTTGCGAAAAAAAACGTTGCGACATGCGATTATATGAATTCATATTCGGAAACAAAAAAATAGACTTCCGGATGACATAGTCATAGTTTACTCATCATCGTCTGGTCATACACCTTGCTCAGATGATCTTGCGAGCTTCTCGAGGGCGAGCTTTTCAGCTGAAAATTTTGAAGGGCAGCTTGGAGAGGGCCATACAAAGATTTCCTTTCTCAAATATCAATATTAGAATATTTTTTACTATAGATGGAGTAGACAGATAATCTTGCCTAGTGTAATAAATAGCCATGAGTCTGCTCTTTCTAGAGTCTCTACAATTGTAATAGAAAAGTTCATCTGAAACGAATTGAAACGCAGTGGCAAACAAGATACTGGCGATTTAATGATTTATTTCCTGACAATCCCTTTGGATACTCTATGTAGTGCCGCTGTAAGCTCAAAATCTTGAGTTTTGTTGAAGATGGGACATTTATAATTTGCAGATAAATACGACAAATCTTCTTCTCCAACTGAACAGATGTAAGTGATTCATCTTTGATGTTGCTAGAATTGTGGAAGGAAAATACCACCAATTACATCTATTCTTAGAATGCTCTTAGTTCTTTATCAATGCCGGAAAATTCCATGTTTTTACGTTCCTCAAAAAACTGATAATGGCTTGAAGCGTCACCTGAGAAAAAAGTCTTGAAGCACTATCTCCAATCCTGCTATTTCTTGACCTTCGCTCAACAGCCTTACCGGAAAAACTGTTAGTAGGAAAAAATACATATATTTATAAAATCGTGACAACGAATTTTACTGCGGACTTTGCGCCCACAGGAGCATAAAACGCTCATACAAGAAGGCATCATCTCAATATCCAGCTCAAACACTTCCAATTTCTATATATTATCATACTAAGCAAAAAAAACATTCGAGTAGAGATGGAAACCAAGAAAATGCGATTTCCGGAGGTGGCGTGCGTGTCGCGCGCGGTCGCGCCATCGTCACGAGTTTTCGAACACCCTATACCGTTCCGAACATCCCTATGTTAGTTTGCACCGGAAGATGGTCTTGGCGGATAAAATCAACTATACCCGAGAAGCACATGGCATATTTATCCTATAACTTTCATAACGATATGGATGGATGGAAATCGTTGGTAGCTGATAAGCACTCTTACTGCTATCCAAAAGCTTCCAGCACAGCTGAGAGTTTTTCATGTGTCAAGTTTCGCATACAATATCGATACAACTGAGCCGGTAGTAATCTACCCTACTTGGCGGCATCAAAGATGCCGCCGAATTGGGTAGTTTCAATTTTTTTAATTGATTAATTAATTTTAATTTTAACGAGGAAAACCCGTAAAACGAAAAAAATAATGGTTTTTTGATCGAAAGCAAATTTTTTTGGTTCTTTTGCTTGACGTGGAATGTGTGATATGGCCGCACTACCCAAACTTGCAGACGCCGCCAGCAAGGTGCCACCATCTCGACATGGTAGGGGCACGTCCGGATGGTTGCACCTTGATCTTTCAAAAGAGCACGCTATTTCTCGTGTTCTCTGACCTAGCGGCATCCGTCAGCGCTAAAATTTCGGTACCAGGTCTTACCGCCAGGTCAGCTCGCGAAGCTGCCGCCAGCACTTCCTGCCTTCCTCTACAATTCCGTTTAGGGAGGTTTCTACAACCTTCAGTTGCCAAGTAAGGTCCCCTAAGGTCACTATGACCTCCTCGACCAGAAATACGTGTTGAAAAGGGTTGGGAGGGCACAAATTCGAGCTCGGTGTTCACGCCGATCTCACGTAAAGATGCCGGCGACTTGACAGCGGAACTTGCCGCCAGGTCAGGGAGATTACTACCGGCCAGGGCCAGGCACGAGGTGGGCAAATGACAAGCTGGAAATCGTTTTAGGGCCAAAAAGCAAAGGGGATTCGTTTTTGCGGGATCCGGGGCGGAGCCCCGATGAAGATTCCAAGTGCAAGCAAAAGAAGGTCGGTTCATCGGAAAATAGTTTTCATAAACCTCAACGCAGACTTCGCGCGCACTACGCCGCGTTGCCGCTAATTGCCGCGTGCGCGACGTCGCATGAGCGATGCCGTTGAACAGCATGATTACATGATCAGTTCTCAAGGCAGGCATAATGATATAGCACCAAATTACGTGGGCGAACAAAGAGAGGCTAGTAGAAACAAAGCATGAAATATTATGAAAAACTTATGTGAATGAAGAGCGTGCTTAACTTTTCTCCGAATTAGGTGGGCAATTGCCCACCTAATGCCCACCTGAAGTGGGCAAAACTTTCAATTCACATAATTTTTTCAAAATTTTTACATAAATCTGTTGTTCACCTAAAGTTTACTATATGGTGAGATTTTGGTTCCTAAACTCCTCTTCTTGTCTTTGTTAGAGCCCAAAATCGCATCAGCAGCTTAGCTTTCTAAGATGGAAAGCGCGTCCCAGTCAATCGATACGCGCGGGAACGGCGTCCTCAGTCCTATGACTGCGTTCCTTTGATATTTTTCCACTACTTCATCATTTTCCTTGCTTATTCTTCTTCCTGTTTTCTATCTTGGTACAGGTGAGGAGTAATTAGAGGAATTTGAGCATTCTGGGCGCTTTGGAGCGCTTTTAGGCGAAGTGTGGCCGGTGCCCTCGTTCCACAAGCACAAAGCGTCATTTTTGGGCTCAAGAGGGTATTCATAAAAACTATTGGGATCAAAGGGAAATTCGTTTCGGAAAACCCCGTCTGCCCGCCTCGTGCCGGGCCCTGCTACCGGCTCTGATGTTTGATACGTAGCAGAAATTGCTGCAAACAATCTTTAAACATATTTGGCAGCTTCTGAACAGGGTAAAAAAGACTTGGACTCATGCCATGAACACAATGCATATGAAATTGAGTTATTTACATCTTCTCTACCTCTAATTTGGTAATCGCATGAAAAATTATAGCCGAAATACCCTAGATATCATGTCAAAGTACATGCACATTAAATCCCACAAATCCTTCATTTTTTACACCCATAAATGTTCCAAATTCATTCTTAATTGTGGTTTTGAAAGGTGGATGATTTCAGCTACCACTGCTGTTCTTATGAAATTTGACTGTATTTTATGCTGTGAGGAGTAAGTCTTGGACTAGATAACAAAACTAAAACAATTTTTATTCATGTTCTAGAAATAAGTGTCAAATACACTATCGAGAACACTCAGTTCAAACATTCCACAGTTTCTCCTTTCGGCATGGCACCAAGTTTGATCATTCCAATGTTGTATGAATATTGGGGATATCGGCCATGAACAACGTAGGCGGTCGGTACTTCGATTCCAATCTTTTTGTAGCAGGGCGGAAAATTCTTATTGTTTACAATTTGTAAGGAAAAAAGTCGAACTGTAGCTTACCCCATGATAATTGCACTTATGATAGATGTAGAGTCTGGGATCGATTGTAGTAATTTCTCGTTTGCTTCCGTACAAATAGAAGCTGCCAGTCTTATCAGTCTTCCCTTCATCCAAATCCGTATCGAAAACTAAAACATTCATGGCATATTGGATTATGTACAGTCGCTTCATTTCATATGATCATGTGTGTCATTGCACACACAGTTCACTTTTGGCTTCCCCATCCTGGATTCGTGAGAGGAACAAGCCTTCAGGTAAGTGTTTCCAAGGTGTTCTTAGCATTTTCTTTCCTTTTTAGTTACTAGTCACCTCAAATTGATGTAATCAATAACAATCGTTAAGTCTCTTGCGTTTTTGCGATTGCAAATCCAGGACGAGGACGTCAAAGTGGACTTTGTGTGCAATGGCACACATGATCATATGAAATGAAGCGACTGTATGCAAAAGTTAGTTACAAATGCAAATTTGGTAATTACCGTATAGTCTAGAAGTAATAGTGTTTTTGTCTCGTACAACCATAAAATTTCGGAATATTTTTGAAACTCCTCCTTGAAACGCTTCGCGATAGCGGAGGCCCATATTGCAAATTGAAAAGTTTTTGCTTCTTACAAACGTAGGAGTTGCCACTCAAGAGAAAGGAGCTTTATAAGGTGGTATTACCTACTAAAAGATATGTATGCAATATAAGAAGCTGTTTTTGGTAATAAAAATGGTTAGCCAAAAAATCTCATTTCATGCCCAAATCACTTTTAAAGTAATGATTCCTACTGGAAAGACGGAAGGAGAGGGAGAAAGTAAGGAAATGACGGATAAATGGGAAAAGTAATTTGTTTTCGTTGTAATTTTTACATTTTTTTAGCGGAATATCAGGACCATGTATCACTCTTTTCGTAAAGTGGGACTGTCCTACGATTTTCTCAAGTTGGCATTGGCAGTACTTGCTTATTCGAAACAGTGAAAATAGATTTTTATGCCAAGTTTTTGAATTATACTATTTCTCATGATTTTTCGGTAAAAGGAAAACTAATAACTGCAATGGAACCTCAAAACTTTAAACATTTTTGATCTCTGCCAAATAATTTAAAGAGATACTGCGCTTACTCAAACAACTGAGAAGGGAAAAGAAAATGGTGGAAATTTTTTGGGATTGGATAGCTTACATAGATCTTTTTCGCTGAGTTTTACCCCAACACCTGGCATAGGTGAGCCATTGCATTCCACTGCTCCCGTCACTGCCACTGACTGCATTCGCCCAATTCCGAAGAGGCCTTCGGTTTGGTTGAGAAGAACAGCCACTACTAGCAGAAGTAAAAACAATGAGTGCATCTGAAATATTGATCACAAAGTTTTTACGCTGTTAGGCATTTTTGAAATGACAAATAGATGTTGGAAAAATGTAGACAAGTGCTAGAGAAAAGTTCGTAGAGCTTTTATATGCCGACAAACTACATTGTTTGCATAAATTAACCATGAGTTTTTCCTCTAGGATTTTCCGAGAACAATCAGGTGCGGGAGACATAACATAACATGCGATTATGTGAATGTCATCATCGGGAAGAATGAAAAAGAGGAAAGCTATGAAATGACATAATCATGGCTCAGGGTGAAAAATTAGACAGTTCCGAATCAAGAAGATTTTTTTGCAGCGACATTTCGGTATCAGTTCATCATACCTGTTAAAATGTAGAGCTGCAATTTTTTTAGAGGATATTATAGTCTGCAACTTGCTTTACAGCACTATCGTACAATTTACCAACCTTGCATCTTCGGAACTTCCGCAAAATCATGTGAACGAATTTAGTACAACAGCGATTATTAGTTCCCAGAATTAGGTCGAACATCTTATCATATTGGGGATAAATTTTTTGACCATTTCTTTTTCTCGATTCTGTGCAGATCCTCGATAGGAGTCCTGCAGAGGTGAATGGATTTCTCAAGTTACACACATTCGCAAGTGTTACTGTACCATTGAATTTCCATCAGCTTTCAAAGACTTTCGAAGTCGATGTTTTACTAGCTTGACAACAGTGTGAATACGTTCAACTTATACAGTGACAATTTCTCTATCATCCAAATTGGATAAATATCAACGGAAAGATTTTGAGTTACGAGACTTTGCTCTAACAAGGGAAGTGTCACAAATCGCAGTGGCCGTTTGAGACGGGATGGATGGTGTGACACGTCACTCGGAAGGGCATTTCCAAAACCACCCTCGCTAGCTGCAGAACAGTTCTGGGAGGAGAGCTACGGGCGTTTTTCCGCTCGAGACCCAGTGCGCCTTGTGGTATACGACTGCCACATTTAAACTCTTGTGCAAATGTGGGCAGTGGCAGGTGTGCTGACTACCGTGCGGATGTTTGGAGGTTCGAGTCCTCTGTTGGACAACTTTTTTGCAATCTATATACAAGGTCCTAAAATGTGTAGCTTAGCGACCACAATGCGATTTGTGACATTTCCCTTGTAAAATGGTAGGCTTTTTTGCCTTGCTATCGCTGTTGGTTTGACGGAGTTATCAAGACTCATTGTGCTTTTCTTCATGGATCTGATGCACCAATTGTAAAAAGTATTACATTTTCTAGCAATATGTAAAGCATAAATCCTTCTTAGAGAACACTTGCTTCGTAGGCCTTTCAAATATTCCTGTGATTTATAGCATCGCACCAGATTTCTTAATAACGCAATTTACTATTCAGTAGGGTTTTCTTGAATTTGTGGACAGAACGTCTTCATTTGGACTCGACGATGAGAAACCAAAAGAAGCGCCCTGAGAAATTCACCAACTGTTTTTTTTATTAGCACGATGATCGTTAATAATAAAGACGGTAGCGTGCTAATGTTTCTTAATTTTTTAGATTTCTCACCTACTGCCTGAAGTTGATGGATCAAAAGGTTGCGGGAAATTAGAATTCCACTGACCGTAGGGACTTATATTAGGTTGTCAAGAAAATAATGTCCGTTTTTAATTGCTTGCTTTAACAAAGCAACTACACTCAACCCAACAAAGGGTAAAGGGTACCGTTCGACAGAGCAAAGCAAGCTCTACAAGATGGCACTCATGTCTTTGCGCCAAGCTCGATCCACGGAATGTTCGAACTCAAAATCTGAAGATATCCAAATGCCCAAGAAATCGAAAAAAATCAGATCTTCGTCATAATTTTTGCTGATCTCCCACTCGCACACGTCAATACTTTCGATATATGATATACATATGTGCAGTTGCTGTACTTTTTCCTTGACTACAAACTGAGAAAACAAAAATTTTCATGTTTTTCTAAAAGCAATGCTGAGCCGTTCTTGCATATGTGATTCTATACTACAAGCCTAGGTAAGTATAACTGCAGATTTTCAGCCCATCCCGAGCAGTAGTTTTCGAGAAATATCGAAATCAGCTTTCTTCTTTTCAGTTTCAGTGCTAAAAGCAACATTTCTCGAAAACTACCGCTCGAAATAGGCTGAAAATTTATAGTTATACTTACCTAAACTTGTAGTATAGAATTATATATGCAAGAACGGCTCAGCATTGCTTTTAGAAAAACACGAAAATTTTTGTTTTCTCAGTTTGTAGTCAAGGAAAAAACACAGCAACTGCACATATGGATATCATATATCGAAAGTATTGAAGTGTGCGAGTGGGAGGTCCGTAGAAATTATTTGGACGAAGACCTGATTTTTTTTTTCGATTTTTTGAGAATTTGGATATCTTCAGATTTTGAGTTCGAATATTCCGTGGATCGAGCTTGGCGCAAGATTATGAACGCCATCTTGTAGAGCTTGCTTTGCTCTATCGAACAATACCCATTACCCTTTGTTGGGTTGAGTCTGTTTGCTTTGTTAAAGCAAGCAAATAAAAAACGACATTATTTTCTTGACAACCTAATATAATGATCTTGATGCTTGTTGTATTTTCACAAACATTGCAAACTGAACAAGTCTTTATGACGATCCTATACTCCAACGTATCAAATGGTCTCCTCTCCAGATGCCACATTTTCTTCAAAGTTCTTTAAAAAGCCTAGGCGAAACTCGCTCTCGCAAATCGCAGTAGTTGACCATCATCTGTAAAACAGAAAAGCTCAAAAGCAGCTACATTCGATTTTAGGAAAAAATGCAATATTTTTTGAATAACCCTCACCTGCCATACGTTTCGCAAAGGCAAAAGCGAATCTTCTGTTGCTATCCAAATCACGAGCAAATCGCAACGCACTCTCTTCATCGCTCAAATCTAAAGAACTTTCATCCAATCATTCCTTTCATGTCTGCCTGGAGTTTTCTTACCTATGCCCCTTTTAGCAAAAGCAAACGCAAACTTCTTAGCATTTTCAAGATCACGTGCGAATCGCTGTTTCGCTTCTGGTTCGTCTAAACTTCAGATGAATACTTTTGCGTGCTTTCAAGACAAGAAACATACCTTCACTCCTCTTTGCGAAAGCAAATGCAAACTTTTGCCTCTGGTCAGGACTTCGTGCGAATCGTTCCTTGGCCACATCTGGAATAAAATGCCTTGTTTGAAACAGGAATTTCTTATCTCTACTTACAGTGAAGGTCGTAGATTTTCTTACGAAAAGGGTAACAAAAACTTTATGCATTTCCCTCCCCCCCCCCCCCCCCGCCTCAAAATTTTCTTGAATCTTCTTGAATTTTTTGCGAGCTTTTAACCCAAAAGAGCGGCAGCACCTTCGAAAAATTATTTGGCAAAATTATTTTGATTTTGTTAAAACTCAGAAGAACACTACCATTTACAAACAGAAATTTACTTGCACATCTTTATACTTCCTCTTCTTTCCTCTATCCTTCACATCTAAAATAATACATTCAATTTACATTAACAAAAATCGAAAAATTGTTTTTTATCTTGTAGTAGCATTCACTCAAGTATGTTCCAGACACGCTACCTCTGAGAGCTGAGCTAGAACAATAGACAAGGAAGCACGTAAATATTATGTTGCAAAAAATTCGCAGACCTTCAGCTAGGGTCTCTCTTTTTAATCTAAAATTCTAAGGATATATTAATGGTGAGGAAAAAAACCGTAGATTTCTTCAATTGAGGCATTGGCTCGGAAAAATTGCGACTGGAGGCTTTCCACAACCACATGTCCTCCTGGACCAGCTGAGCCATGTACTGTGCTAATGTAAAAAAAAATTTTTTTTGAGTTTACCGGCCTTGCAGATTGGTGGAGAGGCGGGGCGAGGCATTCCCGCCACAACCAGCACGTGACTGCAGGATACTGTAACTTTACCCATTTTGGCGGCAATTGGCTGATCAGCCCAGGCAACAAATACGGTACAGTTGACGGGAATCCCTCGCCCCGCCTATCCAGCAATCTCCAAGGTCGGAAAACCCACTTTTTTGACTTTTCAAGCACAGTACCTGACTCAACTGGTCCAGACGGCCATGTAGTTGTAAAAATCCCCCACTTGCGATTTTTCCGAGCCACTGCCTTTGAAGGAAGAAGGAGGGGACGCTGCAGAGTTATTTAGCCGGATCGTGCAAAAAAATTATCTGGGACTTCAGATTTAAGGAAATTTTGGGGCATGGAAAAGGTTGCATGATATTGATTGAAAGTGCTTCATTATTAACATTTCCATGACTTTCGTATTCATTTTTAGGCTCATGTTAGGTTTTAGCACAACAAACTTCGAAAAATAATTTTCTGTACATACGGTATATGTGATATGATTATCTTCATAGCTTTCTTACCCAAGAAGCACCAGTCCACAAACAACTTGAAAGGTTCGCGTCATAAACTTTTCCATACTTCAACTTGATTGTGATATACTATAAACAACAAAGTTTGAGTCTGCAACCACTACTAAGTGAACCTTTTTGGAGGACAGATAGAGTGAATGCGGGGCAACCTTTTGAATGGAGCTCAAACTCTCTTCCAAAATTTACAAACCTGGAGATTTTTCGGGATAAATTTACGACTTCGGAATTTCCCTAGCATTCATGTCATTAGCCCACTGAAAACTTATAGACTTTGGAAACCTGGAGGATTGTTCTTCTTGCATTCTTAGCGTAGAAACATAAAAGGATCATTGAAATTCAACTACGCAGACCATTTTTGACTTGCTACATTTTTCGTTAAGGGGGAAAGGATGAGAGAAATTTCCTTGATTGGTTCCACCACAGTTCGTAGAAACAGTTTCAATAGTTACTGAATCCTCTAAACAGCTGGATTGGCTATATAGACAACAGCAACTACTCTTGTTTTTCTTTCTGAAGTCCTTGTTTGAGACTGTTGCAAGATAACTAAGGTGATATTCGCGTATTCGAGATTTTTGGGGTTCTTTACATAATGCTAAATAATTATGTTCATTATTTACCTGCACTATGTTCGTCATCGAATGCAAATCCTGAAGAGACTGCAATAATGGCGAAAAGAGCGATTGCGGTGCACGTGCTCATCATCCAGTTTGGGCCACTGCTAATATTTGATAATTATTGTTAACATAAACAAAGCTTGACGTTGTACAAAATAGCGATGTCACTGAAAGATTATAACGCTATTCAGTGGAGAAGATGGAAGTATTGGCTAAAAGAAAAGATAAAAATTTAAAATTGTTCACTTTTTTGGGCCTATTTGTGGTAGGTCTGAAAGACCCTGATTGCGAAAATTTGGAATTTTTCGTGCAATGAATAGCTAGATTTTTGCAAAAATTGTAGACAACATGTGCTAATCTTAAGCTCACAGAAATGAGCGAATTCGGCGATTTTCTCGTACAATGATATACTACCATAACCTTTTGGGCAGAAAAGAAGCGAAGGCGATCTGCTACGTTGTAGCCTACACAAAACCACTTCTGGTCTTGTTTAGAGGAAATAAGGCGCATTTGGAGCCCATTTTGTTCTCATTGGTCGCCTTAGAGTACGGTAGTGCACGGTGGGAGGGGACCCTATGTTCGTTGTGGTTTTGTGTAGGACCGGAGCCTTTTTGGCTCTGTCAAACTTACGACCCACCCTGGGTCGTATTGTCCGAAATGGTAGTCTTTTTGGAAAAAATGGAAAACATAACTCCAAGAATTTCCTCAGAGCTGTTCTTTGATTATTTCACGTGCCGATTACGATTGTGGTGTCCAATTCGTTTACTACTTTCCCACAGAGAGGCCATGGTAGCAGCACGGTAAAATTTTCGTAAAATTCAACAGACTGATGTGAAAAGGCGGTAAGACACTTGAGACTATCATTTGTAATCAGCATGCTATAAAACCTAGATACCCTCGATATCATCCCATATGTCTTCCCTCAACGTGACGTGGATTACGTGGCTTGATGAGGCGCCGCCTCGCCTCGGGCTCGCGCCAGTTGCGAGCGCATCGTTTGGCGCGACGTGGCGCTCAACACAATGTGGCGCAGGCTTTTCCACGTTCTTCTTGTTGCCACATCACCCCGAAAATGCGCACGCAACGTGGCGCAAGCCCGAGGCGAGGCGGCGCCTCATCAAGCCACGTAATCCACGTCATGTTGAGGCAAGACATATGGGTTGATATCGAGGGTATGTGTAGGATTTGAGCTTCTTGAGATGAACAACGAAAAAAATCAATGAAATCATTGAAATCGATAAATTTTGAAGGGCCAGCATCAGTCTATTGCCCGCTCTGTGCCTTATCTTTATTCACGGCATACCTGAAGCAACATTACATTACAGTGTCCCGCGCACAGACCACTCTGGCTGTGCCTTCGCCTAGGTGTCCCCATTCATGTGCCAGAACTCCGAAGAATTAAACTGGTGAAGCGAGCTTCAGGAATCTTACGACCCATCGGTGGTCGTATTGCCCGAATTGCAGAACACGTACGACCCACCGGTGGATCGTATTGTCGTGAATGTGGCAATGGCCGGGAACGTCATAAACAGAAAATAATAAAGATTTTTTCTAGGGAAGACGAACAACCAAACTAGTACTCCTCTCATCTCCTTTATCTAAGCTGTTCAAAAAAAAAATGATTTTCTGCTAGGACAAACTCCCACACATTATAGACATATATCAAATATGTGAAGTTCATCGTGTACATACTTGACCTAATACGTGAGACTGCATATTACATGCACAATGCGCGTAAAATCCTAGATTCCGATAATTATCTTTCATTAAGTGTTATTTCTTGTACCTCACACGGGGAAGGAACATTAAGAAGACCTACTCAAAATATCTAAGGAAATCCGGAATATAACGAGCAATGTCTATGTTGTGTGTAAATGCTTATACACATATAAGGCTAAGAAAGGACACTTACACTTACAGCCTGTGTCAACTGTGAACTCTCTTCTCCGAAAGAGCAATTGCCTCGCCAGGCCTTGCGCCGTGTTCGCGGGAGTATGGCCTCGGACAGAGTTCACGCGATTTCATCGTCGCGACTCATCGCGACAAGACAACTGTGGCAATATCATTGCATGCCGATCTTCTTGGATCTCGGTTGTGATAATTTTCCAACATGACTAACCGTGACTAACTATCACAACCGAAACACAAAAAGGTCGGCATGCAATGAACTCGTAACACTTGTCTTGTCGCGATGAATCGCGACGATGGAATTGCGTGAACTCTGTCCTGGGCCTATGGCTTGCGCAGTCAAATTGGTCCCATTGGCACACATGATACTTGGTCCACTTCGTCACTTTGCTATTGGCTAAATCAGTGAACTGACCAATAGCGAAGCGGATAAAGTGTGGCGCGTGACATTGAGTGGAAATTCTCGTAAGACCCCTTGCGAGTTTGCACAGTCTCGGCGAAAAGGGATTCGCCATTGACCTAATCTGTATGTAACTGCCCCACCTACTTATGATGTGGAAACCCTACGCTGATGTGATAATTCTAGAAAAAAAAGCTATCCCCCAAACAGTCCCCATTACGAATATTCTGGAATGATGAGTAACGTTATGTCAAGGTTTATAATTCCAGAGAAACTGCGTAAAAACGAGGATATATTTGTAAAACATGGACTGAGCTCACCACCAGAGCTTTATATAGTGATAAACTGCGTCACACAGCGGAACTCAAGCGGGCCATAGCTGCGCCAGTTTTAGACAACCGGACGTTGATGCGCGGGCCGATCGCGTTCCGGAAGTGGACGCTTATCCGCTCTTCTGCCGACTGCAACTCGCGTCATTCCGTCTAGTGCATTTTTATATGTGCAGGACAACATCTCCAACTCATCTATATTCTTTATTTGATAATATTTGCATTATAATTTGGAAAGCAACACGAACTATGACAACAGAAATTGTTAGAAAAGTCTACCTCAATTACCCATATAACACTCTTCACTATGGTAACAACGGTCACGATCAAATTGCTGAACAAGCACAGTCCCTTATATAAAAAAGGGAAATAAACAAGCAGGAGTCATAAGTTTGGAAGACATTTTGGCAATGTATCGTTGCACATATTGAGTTGGGGGTGATAGCAGATAGAGGAAAGCGAATCAAAAAGCGTTAAATGTATCCCGAACCCAACTATATCACAGAGATCGCTTACGTTACACAATGAATAGATGTACTTATGAAGACTATTTGTGCGATTCCTCGCTTTCGGTCGGTTGTGTCGACGTCATTACGTCCGTTTCTGGAGCCTGTTTGTCTGTGTCCGCGTGGAGCTGGCAATAAACAAAATTAACATTAGACGAAAATCCTACATGAACATCAAACGAAAATCTTATTTCTACGATGAAAACCAACTATTCTTCAAAGCCAGTAAAGAACCGCTTCAGTCACTGATGCACTTGCACCATGCAGTCGCACCATTTTACCATGATTTTGAAGATTTTGCGACTGACACAAATGTTTGCTTGCATAAAAAATGTGAGAAAATTTTTTGAGAAACTTTGCTTATCATACCTCTAGCAAAAGACAAAGAATAGCATGATACGACAGAAACTTTGAGAGGGGTCTAAACACAAAGATCATTCAAAAGAACCAAAAACCAGCAGACTCTTCTCTATCTCATTCAATGATCAACCTTTTCTGGACAAAAATCAATGTTATCGTCTAAGCTCACATAGCTTTCGTAATCCAATTGCAAGTTACATGTAAGGCCCAAATCTTAGTAACGGCAAAAGAGGGCTTTACAAATTGTGCAGTTTCTATCACTAAGGAAGTATAATTTTGTCATAAACATTTAAACTGCAACATCATGTGCTTCTGGCACTTATATTTTTATCAATGACAAGAAGCACTACAGTACGACCAAACAGCAAAGAAGTCAAACCCAATAAGATTCAGTTTGGTAAAGCCAACAAGGATTGTACCTGTGCAGCATTTTGGTTGCCCTCAGTATCTGCAGTTACGTCCCTCTCGTCCTCGACATCTTCCTCCCATGCTATGGTTTCCATTTTCTTCGTTTTGTGAAGACGTTCATTCAAATCTCGGAGAGCTTTTTGCCTAGTAACGATGATAGAGTGCAAGATGTCACGAACTATTTGGTGGTTAGAAAAAGTATTGGGAGTGAAATGCCATACTCACAAAAAATAACATATAAAAAACGAACATGATCAAAGTTTGATTGAAAGTACAATTTTATTTACCTTCTTCGCTCGGCATCTCTCGCGGTGCTGTCTAGGCTACGCAAGCTTATGCCGACACTCTGTAGAGAATTGAGATCAACGTGACGAACCTAAACACATGTTATCCAGCGATGAATAAAATCATAGAATAAAAACATCCAAAAGAGATTATCGTAGACTTGGAAAAAAAACTTGGAGAAAACACATCAAGGGCCGCATGCACTATAGTCCCCGCTGGGGAGGGGATGCAGCTTAAAAGAAAGCTTCATATTCTGAAGCTCCAGATATCTGGATTTCACGTTGTGTACCTATCCGTAATATTCCCCTACCCTTCACTATGAACATGTTGAACAGGAGCGAGAGGCTGTACAAACCGCATTTTCCAGCTTTTGTATGATCCCTGATGATCCCCGGCGCTTTTCTTTAAAATCATTTTTCTTTCTCCGAAGTTAATGGAAACTTTCCAAAGTTGTACTGAACATCTAACACAACAGTGTTAAGCATGTTGCTTATGAGAACAAATGAGTTTTTAAAAACTCAATTTTTTGGTAAACCTCAAATTTCGACCTGTGGATCATCGAAAATTTCATGACTTCAAAACATCATTTGTTCTTATCAGCAACATGCTTAGCACTGTCGGGTTAGATAATACGCACAACTTTGGAGGTTTTCCGTTAACTTTGGAGAAAGAAAAATGACTTTAAAGAAAAGCGCCGGGGATCATCAGGGATCATGCAAAAGCTGGAAAATGTGGTTTGTACAGCTTCTCGCTCCTCTTCAACATGTTCATAGTGAAGGGTAGTTGGAATACTTACGGATAGGTACACAACGTGAAATCCAGGCAAGTGGAGTTTCGAAGTAGAAAGCTTTCTTCTAAGCTGCGATCCCCTCCCCGCGGCGATGTTAGTGCATGCGGCCCCAAGTGAACAACGGGAAACGACTTACCGATCTCTTGCACACCCCTAATTTCACAAGGCTTCTGAAGCAAATCCTTCCTAGGATAGTGCAGAAGGGTCGAATGATTCTAGGGAACAGACTGCAAAGTATTTTCTAAGAATGTGAGTGAACTCTACTGCGCCCGTGTTACCTTGCCCAGACAAAGTGATCGCTACTGTCGCCATAGATTGAATCTGTCTCATGCGGATTGAAAAATCGTAAATATGTCCATGAAATTTGTACTGCGAGAACGCACTGCAGCACAACAACCTGAAGATGGAGTGATCACAACACAGAGCCCATTAAAAAGGGGGACTGACCGAACTCATCACTCCTGCTGCCGATAAAATCGACACAGAAAGAACTGCTAGAAAGGGCACATGAGTATATTTGATTCTACCAAGCGGCGTTTCGAGAAGAATTGAATCGGGTAGAAACTAAAGAGGATGATAATGGCTCACAATTATACTATGAGCGCTCAAAGTTTGTGTCAAGCCGAGCAGGATAGAAGGATATATCAGATTTAAGCGAAAGCAGTTTTTCGCCGTTACAAACCTCATTCTTGCGCGGATGGCAAGTATTGCAATGATACCTTCATGTACTCAAAAAGTAAATCACATTTTGGGCATAAAATTAAAAATTGGGCAAAATGGGTGTTCAAGATCCTCCTTATTAAGGTTTCATCCCGCCAAAAATATTCTGTGGCAGATGAAAACGGAATGCTGCGCGTGCATGAATGATTCCACATAAAAAAAGATTACCTGCTTTATAAGCACAAGAACAGCGCAGTTTATCGGAACCATATCAACCACATAATTTTCATATAGAAGTGTAGTCTTGGAACTTATGGCATAAACACCGTAAGCAGCCCCGCAAACTAGCACCGTCGTCAAAAGCTAGAAAAAGCCAAATATACCAACATATAGAAGGAAAAAAATCATATTACCAGACGTACTTGAGTGATAGCGTAGGTTTTCAACACACTTTCATTGCTGTTATTTTGACGAATTAGGTTAGTTCCAAAGTGCAAGCTCCATATTGACCATGCAAACAATATAACATTCCGTCCAACAAAGTTGCAAGTGATTAAACGCCAGACTTGTACGGAGAATAATTGGAATGGTAACAAAGATAGGAATGCATAAGCGGCAGCGATTGGTGAGATGAAGAAACCTAAATGTAAGCACAGCAAAATATATAAAAATCTCGAAATATGGTGGTCACCAAACTGAATGTAGTAAAGTTCTCCCAAAGCAAAAAAAAAATTCTAGAAATGATATTGGCCCATTCAAAGAACCTGCCCAAATCGGAGCACTTTTTCATAGGCGTGGGACAAAAAGCCACAAATAGGGGTTAAAATGTAACACATGACAGAGATTTTGGAAAATTCAAAGTGAAATTTATCACCAAAGTATGCTCCACTTCTTTCAATGTTTCTTATCGAGATTCGGGTCCAAAACATTTCAGAAAGCTTCAGATATTATTTTCTAATACGATTGCTTGGTTTGCTACTGATAATTAGCGCAGAAGTTGACTATAGAAAAAAATAAATTCATTCACCATCAATTGATGGATACGACCGTATTGGTCAAATAAAAATAATATAGTAATAAAAAGTATTGGCTGACTTACCCAAAATCCTCAATCCCATGAGAATGCGAAATGGCAAAGCATTATTACGTAGAACATCTGAATGCCGTTCCACCACGATCTGCAGGTCACCCAACACCGTCTTCATCTAACAAGAAAGAGTTTGATGAAAACAAGACTTACGGGAAAGGGAATTTCAATATTTTCGGGAGCTTGCATTGATCAAAGAGCTATATAGCGATACTTTCATTTATGCGCTGTTATAAATGCAAACAAAGAAAAAAGAATCATGCGATCAATGACAAGGACGATTTAGCGCTGGCACGGGAGAAACGTTCGCCAGGCTGGATTTGTAGCCGACGGAGATGGGCGCGATAACAGCCGAAAGTGATGTTCTCGAAATGGTGTCGTAGCCAACATTCCCAAAACTTTGTAAAACAAATTTTTATAGTGACAACGTATCAATAACTATTCATTGAATAAAGTATTATTTGCACAGAGCTCTCTTTTTGACGCCAAGCCGGTGGGCATAAAACCTCTCTCAAACATTAATTAACCTCTATCACTACCTTTGCTTGAAATTGATATAAAAAGTGTGACACTTTTATCATCCAAGTTTGTATGATACGCACCCAGAATCGCGTGGGTGAAGACGTGTGAAGAGCCGGGCATACATCACGCGATTTAGTCACTCCACGATCTCGTAACAAGACAACCGTTACGGGTTCATTGCATGCTAATCATCTAGCATTTCGATTGTGATAGTTGGTCGAGATTAGTCTCGGAAAACTATCACAACCGAAATGCAAGGTGATCAGAATCAATGATTTTGTAACAGTTGTCTCGTTGAGAAAGTCGCGGGGGACAAAATCGCGCGATGTATGCCCGGCCCTTTAGCTTACGGTGCAACGGCTTCGTTGGCGAGGGAGTCCAAAAGCATCTTACGGTGAAAAATGAGCAACTTTGATCAAAGCGCAAATGTCTACGATGTCATGCCCTGCCGCAATTTCATTGTCGATAATAATTTAACATGTTGAAACTGCATCATATGAATAGTGATTTGCATTGTTCCAAAAGGTTTCAATCCTCCATCATTAAGGCAACATTTTCTTACCCTTCAGAGGTTAAAATCATATACTGGAAAAGAAATAACAGCTCTCCGGTAAACGGCAGTATTAGCATCTGCATTTCATAGCAAAAAAATCATTTAACCTCAAAACGAGATCACATCATGAAGGGTCAAAATAAATGCATAATAAAGCATCACAAAATTGTTAAATTTGCAGTCTATCAACATACAAGTAATGACTGAAGATATAACACATTCGCTGGACACAGACCTGAATCAATGTAAAAGATCAAAGCGCACTTATGAGCGCCAATACCGAAATATAATAAAAGTGAGCTAACGAAGATTGTTAATGGGGATATTAGTCATCATTAGTATGTATAACAAACAAATCTGTGACATTAGAAGTCAATATGATATTTATATACAAGTCTCAAAGGCTCATCTTTTAGTTTATTTCGACATCGAGTGAGATGTATAAATCGCATTGAAAAATCTCGTCCCATTAGTTCATCATTGCAGAATAGATCCAACTCGCTATACCGCGACATATTCGACCACATGCTTTGAGCTAAGTACCTGGAATCGACAAAGTGGACCCGTTGGTGCAAGACTGGCACAACAAAAAGCTTAAACTTTAAATAAGGAATCAACCTACCTTTTCAATGTGTTCACGGTGGCCATCCCGCTTAGTCGCACTATGGATCGGACAGGAGTTGGAAGCTCCGGTGCTCCTGGTATCAACGAAACGAGTACCTGAGCAGATCACGCTCATTAACGATTTCATCAAACACGTTTATGATACTCGTAACAATGATCTTCCACGAGAAATCGAATCTTTCGAAAAAAAAAAACAATCCGGTAGAAACGTAGAGAATGTAGGATTTAGTAACTTGGGTCCTTATTCTTTTTTTTTATCAAGAACAAGAAGTCTCCAGAATGTTCAACAGGGAGGTCCACATGAGACTGGATTTAATTATCATTTCTGACAGAGTTAACCGGATAAACACATATAAGCTCGCCTTCTACAGACGAAGGAACGTCTAAGGCATTAGGTATAGGAGTTCGGCCGATTAAAAGATCATAATCAAAAAAATCTATGGTACAAGCTCAAATAATTTGAATATGAATGGTAACTCACATGCTCGTCATTTCGGTGATGCGAAATTCCAGGTTCTCCCTCGAAACACCGATTTGTTCCTTGTGGAGACTCTTCCTGAATCGGTAGCTGCTTGTAGAAATAAAAGCAAAGCTTACAATACATTGTACTCGTGATTAGAAACAAAGAAAATGTAAGTGGAGATCATCATGCATCAAATTAACCAATGAGCATACCTTCTTCTCTGTTTCTTCTTCTTCCTCTTCAACATCCTCCCCTGCTTCTCGTTTCTTATCTTTCAAAAATTCTAATCGTCGTTTCCGTTCCGCTTCCAGTAATCCTAAAATTAGCTTTCTTTTCCACAAAGGCGGCACACATAAGAACACTTACCAGGTACCAATTTGTAAACAATGTCCTGCATTGTTCGATCGAATGCCACATAGTGACTGGGATGGCTTTGATGAATCAGCTGTTCGCACGTTGGGCAACAGTTATCCTCTTCTTCAAAATAGGTGAGAAGACAACTTTTACAAAATGTGTGTAGACAATCGATAACCGTCGTTGCATCTATCAAATAACCCTGAATTACAATTTACATGACGCATGCATCAAAATCAGATCAAATCCATTATGATAACAAATATTCCAAGCGTCATTTTCAAAACTGATGATGAAACGGCTCAATAGAGGAGCTTACACAAACCTTACAAAGGCCACATGTTAAGTGAGTATTGATTTTCTTTAGCTGCAGTGAATAAGCTTCTTTCACTTCACTCCTATCTGAATCCCCATCGTCCCTTTTAGACATCTGAAAAAGTTTCTTTATCTATCCTCACTACTGCCAAACATGATAAAGCTCACCTTTGCTTTGTTCTCGTTTCCTGACTTTCCTGCACCTTTCCGCTTCCGCCCTACATCAGATTTCTTCTCTTCCTTCTCTTTCTCCTTCTCCCTCTTCTTAGACATAGCTCATTGAACCTATCTGATAAAGTCATAAAGCAACTGGACAAGATAAGTAGATCTTGTCAGGCGGTTGAGATGCAAATAAGGCAGATAACTTGGTAGAGTAACCAAAATCTCTTAGCATTTTAATATCACAGCAATTTATCTTTGAAAACAGAAAAAGGAAAAATGGCTACTCATACAAACAAATCAGTGCGTAATGACCCGTGTGAAAAAAATTTGAGAGAATCGTAACAACATGAACTGGCTACACCATAAACCTTGTTCATTCAAATCAATATCAACAATAAAGCTAGCCTGTACGAGGATTCAAACTCGTTTGACCTAGGTACGCTCCCGGAAGATACCTGAAAAAATTTATATAAAGTATGCGACAACTTTGTATTACAAAACTTGACACTTACCTTCCCTCCCGTTCATCTTTTTCTCGCTGCTCCTGTGCCAGATGAGCAGTATTTGAAAGGAAAGCCAAAGCTCCTTTGTGGCAACGATTAGCATAGTGACCTTTTTCTCCGCACTGCAATAGCATCATATTATATTGATGTAAACTACAAGGGAAGATTCTTTGCTCTTTCTTCAAAATTTAGAAATGACTGGCAAATGAATTCATAACACTACTGCGAGACAAAAGATAACCGCATGAAGATCCAGAAAAATGTCAAAGGCTTCAGCCAGACATCTCTCAATAGCGCTCAGAAGCGCCCAAATTTCTCTGAGTCTCTTCACATTGACGTGCGAGAAGAGACAGAGAGAAGAGATAGGTTGGAGAAATTTGGGCCCTTTTCAGCAAAGTCTGGCCGAGGCCAAAAACGCCGATGGTTCGACATGAATATCTGACGAAAAACATACCTTGTAACAAGTAACTTCTGATAAGCTCTTCTTGTCTGGAAACAGTGAGAGATCCACTGGCTGCACCGTTCGATTTGATGCAGGGTTCGACTCAGACTGCTGTAATAAGATGTGTCATAGGTATGTCACAGTTGATTTTCACACGGGATACAAAGAGAAATGTTGTAATAGAACTTCCTACGCAAAAGTTGCAGAAGAAGAGGAATGCTTGGTTGACAAACCTACCTTGTTTTGCTGAGTTGGCAAATGTGGACAATGAGTGGCCTTGTGGCCTCGTTCATGACAGTTATGACAAATGATTTGGTGACTGAACATTCGCTTATTATTCGCCACAGGGTTCTCCGGCGCTGGTAAGGCAAATGACGGATGAGTGAACTTGCATTCCTTTCCTGGAGAATAATGAGATAGTTACAAGCAAAAAAGTACTCTTGCAAATCAAACTCTCTAAAAAAACAGCGCAGTGCTTACCATCAGGACAAAAGCCAGCAAGATAGTTGGGGCATATAACCCGTCTTCGATGACGATGCTTGCAATATGGACCTAGAAATGAGAAAAGTATTTCATCACTGGAACAAAAAAGTGTCGCACTTCTCCACTCTGCACTTGTTACGCTTTATGAAGATCTTTTACAAACACTGACAAAACAAAATGAAGCTAACCATGCCGACAGAATCCTCGATCATACCAAGGGCAGTCTCTCATTTTGGTTTCCGGATCAATGTGACGAAAAGGGCATTCACGGTTGCTGCAAGCCACTGCAAAATATACAATCATTCAAATAAGAGAATATCCAAACTAAAGGACTTACTGTATTTTGATACAATCATTCAAATAAGAGAATATCCAAACTAAAGGACTTACTGTATTTTGAAAAGAAGAAGCACTCTGGCATTTTCGTGAGATCATATTCATGCAAAAATTCGCACTGATCACCCTAAAAAAGTGCCGTATAGTGATCCGAGTCGTATTTTGCTAGTGGAGAGGTCTATGGCTGTGCAAAATTCAAGGTGGAATAGAAGTGTAAAGAGCATAAAAATGTAAGAAAAGGGAATGAGACATAATTACAAATACGTAGTGCACTTATTTTGTATCAATCAAGAAATTAACAGCTCAGGAACAAAGATCTTGAAGCTTATGTATATGCTCACCTTTTTACACAGTCCTCTCAACCAATGTTTACACACAACAGCTTTATCCCCGACTATGTGCCTTAGCGGGCATACTTGACCCATTGTGCATGCGCCTCGAAGGTAATTCAGACAAACTCCCCGACCGCTCTTATCCATACCAGTAAAAGGAACCTGCATGATTATCACTTTTGGAAAAAAAAGAAAATCATGGAAACATCCTGATGGATAATGTACTCACTTCTTTGGCACCGATTTGATGAAGCAGAGCCTCTTCTACGTCAGTCATTTCCGCCTCGATTCCACCGATCACCTCATCTATGGTTAGCGGGATTTTTAGCCTCATCAGCGATGTTGTTGTAGTTGGTTGAAAAACCGAGACCAGTTGCCGATTAACAGCGAGCATTTTGTTGCAACTCTAGAAAATCAAAATTTACAAAGATGATACCAATGATTAAAAGACGAATTTGAAAGATATGATAAACCACGATCAAGTAGTGGCCTGACTGAACCCACGAAGGAACATCTATAAAGTTCATATGACATATGGCCATGGACATGGAATCTAAGCGGTACAAACATTTCAACAATGTCTGAGAGATAGATCTACGATATGTAAATTTTAATGTAAGTTTTACAAAGTCACGCTTCTAAATCAATTTTTTTCGACATGTAACTTGTAATGACGTCACGACTATCGACCCAGAGTTGATAAAGATATGATACTATTCTTTTCTATGAAACAAGGATGATTTCATTCTTTCGCATTCAAGAAACTCTGAAAAACATGTTGATCTCATTAGATGCGCCTACGTCTCAAAAATTCTAAATTTGAACAAGAATACTCGCAGAAAGTTAATCACATGGCAGACGTTAAATCAGCAGGACGTGACGAATGAAGCAGAAGTTTCATTCAAGCAGTTCACAAAATTACCACGGAATCGTGTTCAGCAGTGACCGCTCGCGCAGGCGCTTGCGGCATGTTGGCGCGCTCCATTCCATTTTCGAAGTCTTTGGACAATTTTTTTTACTTCGTGTTAAAATAGCGCTCAGTGTAAAGTTTTCTTCTAGTAATTATTAGCTGCTTCAACATTTTGGGGAAGTTGATTTGTAAAACTGCCGTTCGTTCTATAACTGATGTTACGTGGGTCTTTCTGATCGAAATCGTTTGCTATATGTTATGTACATAAAATATTCCCTTTCTAATCCTTTATTATCGTGTTTGTATCTACTAAAGTTATTTACTTTCATCGCCGCCTTGTGCCATCATGCTGCTCCATAAGATGCAAAGTCTCCTCTTTTCATCTTTTTCTCGCCATCGCTTTCTTTCCTAAATCACTCTGGGTATGTATTTCAGGATTATTTAAAAGTTTGAATTTCATAACGCATCAAACAATATCATCTGAATCTATGCTTATTTGAATCTTCGATGCCTATACGTTTCTTCTAAATTCAGAGCAATTTTTTATTGAGAGTCAAATCATAATGAGACAGTATTTTTTTAGAAGGCTTTTGCTTATTCATTGAATATCACCTGCAATTCAACGGCAACCTATAGTCTGGTAACTTTCTCGGCTATTGCAGTGCCCGCGCGATGCTTACAACACTTGCTCGTCAGAGGCTATACGTTACTATAAAAGCTGCAGCTCATTTTAAATTTTGCACTCTATACCCACTTTATTGCAAGCGTTGTCGACATTCGGGAAGGACTGTTGGTTATGTTGGACCATTTCGAAAATCATTTTTATCGCGACACGCAGACTTTTCCATGTTTCCTCTTTTTTTTGCTCTGACTTTAACAATATTCATCGAGCAGTGTTCTTTTTACCTAAAACATTCAGAAATGCGAGGTCTAGTAGACTACGGCAGTGATAGCGGTAGTGAGACAGAAGAAAACACGCCAAAAGATGATAATGATGCGGTTAGTTTAGTGGGTCTCAGGCAATATATTGGTGTTTTGACGCATTTTGTCGTCTTTGAATTTTTTTCTCGTTTTGGTACGTCCGACTCTGTGTTCTAGAACTTACAAATTAAAAACTTGGTCAGTAGCCTTTGATAGAGTGGGAGGAAATAGTAGCAGTCAGCCATTCGCCGTTGAGATGAGGGTAGGTCTATGAAGCGTCTTTACCCGCGGAAGAGATGATAGGGTGATTAAACCATTCGCGCCCGGCCTACAGCATTTCTCAGAGACTAAACGGCAGCTTCTCGGTTTACTTCGAGCTTCTAAGCACAGATCCGGACACCCGATTTTACATTTGATATCCATGAATGATCTGTTTTGATGCTGATTGTAACTTTCCTGTTAATAGTATCTCTTGTAGACGAACTCGCTTCCTACACCACACCCACCACTCCCCAAAGCAGATGGACAGGAAGACTCATACTTTGCTGCCGATGATGTATTCGACGGTATTTACATTCTGATATGTTCTAAAGCGAACTGAGCACATGACAATTACTCATATTCATCTTTCAGGGTCATCTTCTTTGAATTTGCCTTCCGTAATTGAAACTGGGGTGAACATAGCTGCCGAGGGAGAATTGGAAGACATCGTCAAGCCAAAAGAATGGGAACTGAAAATGGCTGAAAAGGAGAAGCGCCGTAGAGAGAAGAAGGTAAGCGCTTTACTGCATAGAACTCGGTAACAATTCGAGTTTTTCCAGGCAAAAAGAAAACAAAGAAAAGAGAAGAAGAAGGAAAAGGAGGATGAAAAAAGTACAGTGGAGACATTGCCAGTCATCCATGGGAAGCCAAAAGGTAGTTTCCCGCGTGAAAATGACCTTTTATGCATAGCTTTTGAAATTTTTAGGCAAGGCAAAGATTGCCGCTTTTGGCGCTTTGAGTGCTATCGCTGATGGAGTCAGCAGCGACAGTGATGAGGAGCAGGTAAACTTTACAGCTTCTCCTTTTTCCTTTTTTTAAATTTTTTTTTTGTACTTCGAGAATGGCAAGAAGATTTTTCCTTCTATAGAAAAGTGAGTCCGTAAGCGCGCCATCAAAGCCGAAAGGATCCGGTCTCTTGGCTATGCTACCAACTCCAAAAGGAAGATCAAGAATCAACATTGGGAATGTGAGTGGTAAAGGAAATGGAGTTTTGCTACCACCGTCGTTAAGGAACAAGACGAAACCCACGCCGGCTATCAAGGTAAAGCTGAAGGAAACCATAGTTTCCCTGTATTTTTTCTTTTTCTTATTTGTGCTAATTTTTGATGGCATGATTTTTAGCCAATACAACAATCTCCAACATTAAAACGTTCTGCTCCCGATGCTTCGGACGATTCAGACGATGATTTGCCAACTGACTTCTTTGGATTATCGTCAGCTCCCGAGCCTAAAGTTCCTAAAGTTGGAGACATTCCGCTTGTTACTGCTGCTGTTGATCTCGTGGGGCCATCTCCACCAGTAAAAGAGGTAATTTTAATAAAATAAATTATTGGCAAAGGTTTCAAAGCCTGTTTCAGGACGACAATGTTGCTGCTTATGGATATCCTGAAGTTGAACCCTCTTCCAGTGGAGCGGCAGCGCCGGAACCTGAGGGAGTCATCACTGATGAGGTATAATTTTCAACATCTGTCCTTCACTGTCTTATCTTTGATTTCTTTTCCCTCCATAGCATAGGACCTTCCGCTAAAACGTTACGAGTTTGAAATCTACAAAATTTTGCAGGAAGCCCATCGTCTCATCATGAAGTATGAAGTTACACCGATGGGACTGGACCAGCGTAGTTTCAACTCTGTAGCTGCCGATATCGTAGATATCCGCGTAGATGATGTAAGTTCTAGACGACGATGATTTAATCCGACACGTTTTCACTCTCTTCCAATAATTTAGGCCTTGGGACCTGATGTACATGCGAATATCTTGAAAGGTCTACATCAAACTGCGCGCGCCAGAGATGCCACAGCTCCACTGCCAAAATCGAAGAATCCTGCAGACGTCAACGCAAAGAGGAAACATCAAATTACTTACTTGGCGAACCTTGTACGCAATTTTTGCTCTCATCAATGAAAACATTACAAAATCATTATATCAATTTTCAATTATCAAATCAATTTTATATTTAGGCTGTTGCTCGAGAGGAAGCGTTGCAGCAACAGTGGGCCGAAAGCAAGCAGATGAGAAGAATGGGACGACAGAAATATGGCTTTTGATAACGAAAACACAGCCGTGAAGATCAATCATTTCTACCTCAGTGTAGTGTAACTTCATCAATTTATAGTATTTTTTCAATATGCGAAGTCTTGTACTTACTTTGTAAATTTTTACTATACATAATCTCCTAGTGTGATGTGAAGTTTATAAAATTATCGAAAGCTCATCATTGCAAAGGAATCATGTAAGAAAATATGGCATGAGCAATTATAGCATTTGCCGTTGGATCCGGTGCTTAGACTGCAGCTGGACATTGATCGAATCTCTGGAATGAGCACTGAGACGGAGGCATTATCCAGCGGGGTTTTAAAACCAGAACCAGAACCAAATACAGGGTGTTCCAAAAATGTGCCTACTGTTTGATTGCTAATAACTCTTTTGTTATGAAGTCTTTCGAGATGCTTTAGGTACCATTTTGTAGAGCTAGCTCCACCCTAAATTTACAATATGGACCGAATCACCGATCACTCTTCATTACTGCAGGATTACAGTAGAAACTTAAAACATATGGTGTCACTGTGAAAAAAGCTGCCATATAAAATTTTTTCCAAAAATGTGAAAACTTGTGTAATAGGGTGTTCATGGACGCTGTTTTGCGAAGCTTTCTAAGCGGTGTAACCGCACTTTTTAGGAACAGTGAAAAAACGGGTTACGCCTTACCTCGCATAACTTTTTAATAAAGCATTATGATAACTTGCAAGTTTTGCACTTAGAATCAGCAAGACTAATGAGCCCAGTGTGATGTTTTGTTCTCTTTCTGAGGCAAAATATAGCCTTTCATGGCTCGAAGCTTTCTTCAAGGTTCCTATCGTAATCGTACAGTAATGAAAAGCGATCGGTAATCCGCTCCTCACTGTAAATCTAAGTCAAAGCCAGCTCTACAAAATGTACCTAAAGCTTCTCGATAGACCTCATTACAAGAGATTATTAGAAATCAAACAATAGGCATTTTTTCGGGACACTGTATTTCATGCATATCTTTTGTTCAGAGCTTCTAGTCGTGTTGAACATTTGTAAACTTAGCGGACCCATATCCAAAGGAGGAAGACCATTTGGGAGCAATACGCCATGTACAAACACAATTTTTGGTCAAAATCTTTAGTCTATTTGAAAAAGCATGAGCCGAGATTATTGGATTTGCAATGAGTTGGACTCGCCGCCATATCTGTAAATCTTCCAAGGAAAAATCTTAAAATAGGAGTTCTATTCCTTTTTTGTCTTTTTTTTGCTGCAATAGCTAAAAATAATCAATTACGGCGAAATGATAACGTAGCCTTCGACCTCCTATTGCGTTATCATCCGCCACTTAGCGGGGCTGAACACGAGTTTTCGTTTTTCTCTCTGTTTTGCAGCTAATTCTGAACTAATCAGGGATGACGAACTCTCTATCTAGATATAGCCAAATTTTCCAGCTTGAAAAATGAAAAATTTGTAAAAGTTTTGAGATTCCACAATTGATAATTTTTGGGATGAACAGGTATGCGGAGAGATCAATTTTGAAAAATCATCTTGAGAATTTCAACAGTGTAGAATTATTGTGCATATTTGTACTTAACTACTCTGTTTCGTTTTCAACCACAACTGAAGTCCAAATATCATATGCGGCGGAATTAACTTTTGAATCCATATTGATTGAAATTCTAACCCAACCTTACTCGAGTTGACCTTATACTCGTAGAAACGTTATTGACTTCTGCCGTCGCATTCAACGAGTTTTATAGATACAGTCGAATAGATCTTCCTTAATATATTGTGCTTGCACTGAAGGTGAAATGCGGTAAAGTTTGCGCGTGAACAAGTAGCCACGCCAGTAATGCCAGCCTTTTGCGCGCGCAATTGGCCGGCGTCACAGTCGCAGCACGCGCAATATTTACCGCATTCCACTTTCTGTGCAAGCACACTATATTAAGCGGAAAATCTACTCGACTGTACAATCTGTGTCAAGTAGTATGTGTTACCTTTTCGGTAGCAATTACGCATCCGGAGGGCGTAGGCATTGCGCAGCAACCACTATCCTATCGATGCGGCAAATATGAGCGGCTCCATAACTTTGGCGAGGCGGAGCTGCGCTAGCGTGCCTTGCGTTGCGGTTGCCCTGTGCTAAGGCATACCTGATCCATCGATTTTTGGTGAAGATCACGACTCCGCCTCGCCAAAGTTGGGGAGTCGACAATACGGTTAAGCGGTATGCTCCCATACGCGCTACGGGGATTTAGCGTTGCGCTTTAGCCGATCGAAAATGGAGCACATCGTTGACACAGAGTGTAGACAGATTTGAGGAAGGGAGAAAAATAAAAACTCAAGCAATCGAAATACAATGTGAAGTCTGATTTTTTTTCGGTCTTCAATGATTTTTCAACGAAGCTTGTGACCGTAGTGATTCGAGACTAAAAATCGAAAAGCAAATAATAATATATTCTATATTGCTTTCAAAAATTTTGCTCTGTAATATGTTCCAAAAAGCCCCCCAGGCAATTCATCTACACTGTAAGCTCATTGAGAAGCGCAGTGAAAATTCAGAATTTTTGGAACAATTTTAAGCATCAACATTCATCCCGACACAACTAAGTGAATAAATATAAAATGACTGATATGAAAAATAACAAATTTTTGCCTTTTTAAGAGATTTCCTATACCCTCCTGTCTCACATAACAAGGAATATTGTCGAACGACATTTTTATTGACCACACAAACCTTTCAGAATGAAGAAGGCAGTAAGTGTGATCAAAGGTTTGGCTCGCCCCTTTGTTTTCGGAATGATTCATGTGCCTGCTCTACCTGGGTGAGAAGGCTAACATACCATGGTTACGAATTTCTAAGAAGATATTTGGTTGCAGAACATATATGAACAGACTATCAATGCCTGAGATTCTACAAGTCGTTCGCAAAGAGGCACAAATCTATGCAGATGCAGATATCGTCAGTTTTACCTTTCGCTCTGATAGCCTAGTCGGAGCTCTGTGTGGAGAGGAGAGGAGGGATGAGGACAAGGAGTGTTTTTAAATTTCCAAAGCAAGTACATAGGTTTCTTAGGATGGAATAATCGTGGAAAATATGCACGATATCCCCTATGTGAAGCCACCACTTGGTCCAGAAATCGTTTCGTCGATGACATTGGCATGCAAAAGTGAGAAGAACTTAAACATATCTCCAATAATTTCAAACACTACAATATTTTTTGAATTCAAGCCGTTGTCGACACCCTGGGCCCAAAACGAGAAAAAATGCTTCTTGGAGTACAAATTCTCGCCGGCGCCAATAAAGAGGCGCTAGCAGTGGCGCACTGCTGCGGTACTACTTTTTTGACTTTCTTGAATGTTCTGTGACATTTGAACCTACTAACCGACTTCAGGATTTGACCTAATTCGTGCCGAGTGTTATGTCTTTTCTCATGTGGCTGACGAAGGTTGGATGGACGGTTGTGCCGGAGAACTACTTCGTTATTCACATGCCATTGGCGCTGACTCTGTTGCCGTGATCACCGATATCAAGAAAAAACATTCGTGAGTTTCTATTCTTTCCGAACGATGAACAATATATCAAATGAACAATTCAGTTCCCACGCTGTCACAGACGATCTGAGTATAGCCGAAGTTGCAGAAGCGGCAAAGTTTTTCTTAGCCGATGGAGTTATTGTTACTGGACGTTGTACGGGTGATACTGCGGATCCATCAGATGTGCAAAGCGAGTCTATTTTTTGACAATATTTTTTAAATCGTGACTCGAAAAGAAAGAATGCACTGACATGGAAATGGTCAGAAGTCGAAGTGGCCATTTCAAAAAAGTTGTATACCTTCGATGCAGCGTAGAACGCGGGCTTCAGAACTTTCTTCCGTATTTGCTGAAAGCGCTTGAAGGCATTATTATAAGCAATTTAAAAAATGCGAAATAAGCACACTATTGCCCTTTCAGCTCATCTCTAGGTATGGGAAATGTGAAGTAATCTAGCTGCATGATTTGACCCAGCATTAGCCTATAGCTATGGAAGGCGCCATACTTGATCCACTTGATCCGCTTCATCATTGGTCAATACAGTGAAGTGACCAATAGTGAAGTGGATGAAGTGGATCAAGCGGATCAAGCGGATAACTGCCTCGTTATTAATCAGTTTATTGGTCAGTTCATTGAATCGACCAATGACGAAGCGGATCAAGCGGATCAAGTGGATTAAGCGGATCTCAACTATGGCGCGTGCCTATGTAAGACCAAATTTACCCCTTACTCGCACAATTTTTTAGCAAAATAATGACCGATTGTTTATAGCTCCTTCCACAAAAAAGCTCAGCAGATAAGGAAGACAGATTTAGAGTCAGCGTTTTATGCCGCATCTAATGGGATGCAGTTTATTTGGATTGGCCACTTCGATTTCTGAAGATTCCCTTGTGAACAGAAATTATCTGGCGCTGGGAATTTCGAAAAAAAAAGATTCGTTTCTTTATTAATCTAATAGTTTCGATATAGAGGTGGTTTAAATTATAAAAGGCTAGCCCCGTAATAGGCGGATGTCCATATAAGATAAGCGCAGCGAACGCGCGGCGTAAATAGGCCTCAAGCATAGTTTACGCAACTTCAACGCTTCGCGATTCTCCCATCAAGACAACTGTGACGAGTTCATTACAAGCCGATCCTCCTGCATTTTGCTTGTGATAGTTTAACACGATTACTCGTGACTAACTGTCATAACCAGAAGGTGATGTGATTAATATGCAATAAATTCGTAAAAGTTGTCATGTCGGGGGAATCGCGAGGCGACGGAATCGCGTGAGCTATGGAAGGCCTGTGCAAGCAATTACGCCCTTCAGCTTGTGCTCCAGCGAAGACAGGGGCTCGGTGCCGCACTCAACCCGCTTCGCGACAATAACAACGCCTTCGTCCGCGACTAGCCTCTAGCTGTTATGCTAACAATAGCTAGTTTCAAACGGAAGAACGTCTTTCAATTCTTTCATTTCAAAATACAGAAAAGAAGTGTCTGACTAAAGAATAATGGTATCCACCTCCTCGTCTTACTGAATTATTTTTCGACTCCAGTTCTACAGATAACCGCTAAATCGCGCGATTCTTATCATGTCACCTTTTCCAGCTTTGATAGAGGTATTTCAGAAGTACTACGATCTCACTGCACGCTGCCAGTTTTTATTGGCTCAGGCGTCGCGACTTGCAATATACACAAGTTCAAAGGAGCAGACGCTTTCATCGTTGGCTCCGACTTCAAGAAGGATGGTGAATGGCAGAATGAACTGGAGCCAAAGAATGTCCAAGAATTTATGGAAGCAGTGCGAGCATTTAAATGGCATTAACTGATTGTGAGAAACAATTAGAACCTATGAATTGAAGATATAGACGTCTAGAACTTGAGATCTTTATGCTTATAGAACACAAACTTCAGATGACATGCAAAGGTAGTTAGTTGTAGATCATATATTTACAAGAAAAAAATGTTACAAGTAGACAATTAGCGTACATGCACTATCGCTTCAATGTCATCATTCTCATCATCCTCGTCGCTGCTAGTCACGATTGAATCCACTGTTGTCTCCAGATTTTCACCTCTTGCGTGAAGACTCTTCAAGTGCTGAATTCTTACAAGCTTACGCTTTTGAGCTTCTTTCTTTCGTTCTTCACGCCTGCGACGCTGCGCCTCTGTAACTGCCATCATGTACGACAAAATAGCGGTATGTGAGAGATTTTGTGTACCTCGCCAACGCATCTCGCGTTCTTGAGCGAGAAAAATGTCGGCAGTTCTTGCTTTTACCCAACGTTTGTCCTTCACTTCCACTTCGTTAACACCTACCAGAGTCTTGCTGCCTGAAAAAGTCTTTCCAACTCCTCTTACTTTCTTTTCAATACTTTGACATTGAGGCGTTCCGGCGAAAATATGTCAGCTTTATGGTAAATCGATAGTTATATCTTAGCACAGGATACCGCTTCCACATGCATGTTTTTCCCATGGAAATGGGAGCAAGGATCACCCACCTCCAGGCGATCTCGCATATACAGGTTCTTCGCCCAACCACTGGCGTACGGGCTTGATACGATTTCTGGTTGAACGTCGAACGTTTGGTGTCGTTGGTGGTTGCGGATGGACTAAAACATACCAATAACACTTGGTATATTTCATAGGTTAAACGTAAAACTTACCGACTTTCCTTGGTTTCAGAATCATCACTTCGGTATCCTTTTTGCGATTTCTTCTACCAGCACGAGATGACACACGCACTTCGATAGTGTCATTTCCAACTTCCACACTACTCCCTATACCAACAGTCTGGATGATTTTCAAAAAGATTGAGAAAACTTTGAAAAGCAAAGTTAAAGACAATTTTGTTTTGACCTAAAAAGGAAAAAAGCCAAAAATCGGACACTTACTTACCAGAAGGTATAGAATCGGTCGGTACGAAAACGTCATCATCCATGGAGTCAACTGTTAACCTGCGCTTTGAATGCTCATTAACAGCTCTATGTGGCGTACTCAAGGTGCATAAGCTATCAGCAAGCAGTTCTGCATGAAAATTTGATTAGAAGTGGATTGGACTAAATAAGTAAACTCCCTTACTTTGAGACTGTACTTGCAGATGAGCATCGTTGACATTTGCATTACCTTGGCCATCTCCATTAGGTGAAGAGTCTGGAGTGGTAAAGATTAAGAAGACTCCTATGCTCAGCCGGCTGACATAAGAACCATTTATACTGAAGATATACCTTCAAGGCTGAGGCTGCGCGCGGCGACGGCCAGCATCTCGTCAGCGGGTGACAAAATATTCTGAACAAAAGGATGGTTAGAAAACAGTTTACTAGCAGGATCGAAAATTCGTGGACGTACCGATGCTACTGGAACGGCACATTCCTCAATTGAAGCCTGAGGGGGCGACTGTAATAGCATAATTTTCTTCCAAACACTACACCAGACTATTCAAATCTTAAGCAAATGGGCAAAAAATCTGTTTATTCGAAGGAACTTACCAGACAGGAGGCATCCGCGGCAGTGTTAGGTGGAGGAGGCGGCACTACCAAGCTTTCATTGTTTACGGATGTGGCGGTAACGCTGCTTGCATTCGAATCACCTCCCGAAGGGCATTGTACGGCTGATTCGGTCACTGCAGGCTGCGCCTGCGGTTCCGAAACACGCATAAGACTATCCCCATCACTCCTGGGTTTCTTGTAATCTCCTGCTCGTTTCAGTAGATTAGCACGCAGATTTTTCGGTGTCTCCTAAACAGATAAGTCTCGGGAGAGTAGATGCAAAAAAGAAAAGTTCAATAACCTCTTCAGCAAAGAGAGCTTTTGACGACATATTCCTTATATTTCTGGGTTTCGGCACACGACGAACAGTTCCACTTTTGGCTGCATCTGGTACTACCATGCGCGAAGGGTCTGCAGATATTTGAATAAATTGAAGAAAAAAAAACTGGTGATCGTTGAGAGACATAAAAAAATTGTAAATGTGCGAGCTGACCAATTGGTTCAAAAGGCGTGACAGGCTCGATAGATGTTACTTCATCAACGCTCTGACTAAATGGAGAAGCAGGGGTACTTCTACCCTGAAAACGAGTAGGGTAAGCCATACTACTGACCACATTCCCTGGATGCACACATAATTTGCATGAAGCAATGTTAGTCAATGTCACGCTGTTATGAAATATCTGCAAGACTAACGCTATTCGCCCTTCGACAAACTCCTCCGGTAAATTGTTTCGGTTTCGAAAGACGTTCTACACTGTTCTAAAAACGATATGTCAATTTAAGACTACAAGTGAAAATGTAGGAGTTTGATCAAAGCTTCACCTTTATAATTTCCATTCTAGCATCGGCAGACAAGCCAGCATAGGAGCTAGACGATGTCACATTCTGTTCGTTGTGTGCAAGAGAGGAGAAGGTGTTTCGAGGTACACGAGGCTGCAAAAAATCTCCATAAATTTTTGGTCCTGCCAGTTGAGTTCCCATACTTAGGAAAAGTCCGCCGTTGACCTAAAATTTTTCCAAGCCGCAGGACATAAGAAATCTGAGCATATGCTGAGAGCCCAGTGAAAAATCTTTTTTATATGCGCGATATGACAATCTATATAAGGAAAATTTTATGAATTCAATGTTTCGCTGCAAACACATCATAGATAGAAGTATTGCAAATAAGTTAGCGAAGAGTAGTGACGGTCTGAGAATTTTCTCGAGGAAAAGAGAGTGGAAAAAGTGGTCGTAGCGTTAACTAGTCCTTATATGAAATTTTGATGCTGACTGAAAAATCTCCAAATCATTTCGAATATGTGTAAGTAAAAACAAGTCATTCGCGCAATTTTATAATTCATGTGAGCTACTTCAAGAAATTTCCGACACATCCTTAAGGGGGGGGGAGCTTTATGAAGGTGCGGATCTGCACCACGATCTAGAAATTGAAAGTTCAAAAATTTCGTAAGAAGTCCTGTAGAAATTGATCTCAATTATATCTAAACCAAGATTAAACGTTTACCGTATGCCCTAAAGTTCCTTTCGTCACCTTCACTCCTGTGGTACGAGTCGGAGTATGCTGTACAGGTGCACGTGTTGGAGTTTGCTGCTGTGCAGGTCTAGGATCGCTGTTCAGGTCGACTGCGGAGCTGTCGTCAGAAGTGACGGATGGCTGCTCGCTGATGTCGGACATAACAATCGAAACCTCCATAGTGTCTACAAAATTGTAGAATTACTTCATAACCTTAACATTTCAGATCGTCAAATCTAAACGTAAAAATCAATAATATGAGTAAAACCAATTATGTTTAGGATACATGTGTTTCATTCAAATGCAGAAAAAATACAAATATTTCAAATTACCATCATTTTCTTGCTGCTTCGGTCGAACAGGAGTCTTTGCCAAGGTGCGTGGCTAAAATAGACTAATAAGCCAGGGGCTTAACAATGACTGCATTTACCCTACCTTTTTCAAAGGTCGAGCAGCAAACAAAGCTCGCCCAGGAGACGGTACATCAACATCCATTGCCTCTAACAGCGACATATTCTTCTTGTGGGAAGTGTTCTGGGAGAAGTGCAGCATAAACAGAAAAAAATATTTTTGGGCTGACTTACAACTCGTTCTTCTCTCTCCTGCAAGGTGGTCTTAGAAGCGTTCTTGCTTCTTCTCTTAGGTATAGCGGGAACAGCAAATGAGACTTCATCCTGTGCTTGCTTTTGCTCCTGAAAAATGCAATAGTATCACAAGTCATTAAATCTACATCAGCTTCCTACTATGGCATGTAAACAAACTCTGACCCACAAAGTAACCCTTAGAAGATATGCAGTAGATAAAAAATAGGATATGTAAGGTAAGAAATGTACCTTGGGGCGAGCAGCCACTTCCGTTTTCTCTGACAAAGGCACCTGCCTCGGGCTCACCGTGAATGTGGCATTAGCAGGAGCAGAAACTTCAGCATGCTGATTATTTGACGCATCGGCATTTGGTATGGTATATGTACCGTCTTTATGGACTGAATATGTGGCATTCTGCACCTCTTCTGCAGCTGAGTGCGAGTCTTCCCTGCAAAGTCAAATGCTTTGAAGAAAGCAATTTGTAAGAAAAAGAGCATTCATATGGCTTCCTCACAAACTCTACGCCGAGTTTCCAAACATACCTTCTTGGAGCATCATCCACCATGTGCAAGAGAGAAGCTGTCAATGTGGTCCTTCTCGTCATAGTAGCCCTTTTTGGCGTAGCTCGCATCATGGATAGAACATCCTCCATGGAATCGCCTTCGTTGGGAGCAGCCAGAGGAGTGGGGGCTTCTGCTGCATCTAATATAAAAAATCAGAAATGCCATAAATATTAGAAGGGAAAACATGCCGTCAACCACCATCTCTTCATCGACAGCTTCAGCTGGTTTCTCATTTTTAGACTTTGGTAGTACTTGAGCAACTTGAGGAGTCTAAATAGCATACTTTAGCTCACAATGTTGAAAAAATCTCCAGATGCTTCAGTCGAAATGGATAAAATGTTGCAGATGAAACTCCATGATTTTAACAAATCGTGGTCCTCAACTTGGAGAAAACCTTCCTTACATTTTCAGCAGAGGGTTCATCGTACGGTGTAACTGCCGAGACATCAATTGCGCGAAGCGGAGCCAGCGTATTGTTGGCCATACACTGTGGAGTTGAACAACCTTGTCCAATTCTTCCTTGAGATGAACGCGCCACGTGTTCTTCGTCATTATTTATCAGCAGTTGAGATTCTTAACCAAATATTTACTAAAGATTTCAATAAATGATTCTAATACTAACCTGACGCAGCTGGAGGTGGATGGTTATCCTCGAGCTGAGATTCATCATCCGTGCTTGCGATGGAATCTTCTCCCGAGACCTTGCGAGGTTTGAATTCCGGACACGGGTCGTTAAAAATGTCGTGATGTCCACCAAGAGCCATTTCTTGCTTAACTTCTAGAATCTCCGGAGCAAAGACAAAGATGCTCAATCAAAGTACCCGATTGTAAAGATTCTGACGTTCTATAAGTTTTCTTCGTCGTCGTTCTCTTTCCGTAAGACCATCATTTGAAGGCTGTGGTTTTACAGGGCGGGGAGGAGCGAACTGAAAAAAAATTTCTTCAAAAAATAAAGGAAATCATGAAACTTTAAGCTCATTGAATGAGCAAAAATTCTGACTCTGAGTCAAAGAAAAGAAAACAAAACGCTAACAGTTGATTCATTTGCAGTAGTGCTGAGTGTCGTGTCGATGCTGTGAGAACTCAACTGGCTGTCATTTAAATGAAGCCCTCTAGCTTGATCGGGATGAATAATCCTCTGAAAAAGATTACTGCAGAAAAATTATATTTAGCAAATCAACAAACGAACTCACTTTCCCGCGCGGACAAGGATTTACACGAGGCTTCCTGGCCTTTTCAATGAGAGCCCTCACTTCTTCGCTGAATTGCGAAGGGTCCAAATTTGCCAAAGCGTTTGATCTCGAACTTGCAGGCATAATTCTGAAATGGTTATTGTCAAACAAATTGGATCTTTTGCATTCAGAAAAGCAGAAACGGACATTCTAGAGAATTTAAACTAAAGGAGCTTTCAGCAGTTCAGATTTATGATAGCACTATGCAGCACAACACAAGGCTGACAATTAGTAGGTTCCAAAGTCCAATCCTATCCCAAAATCAAACCTATTCATGAATGAAATGACTTTTAATTTACGAAGAGCAGTACAGCACTAGTCAAAAAACCTTTGAAGTAACCACCGACCACGACAAATGTCTTGTTGCTACTAAAATGCAAAAACCAAGAATGATATCGAAATTCTTAAGAACGCGCGCAAACCCGTGGAATCGCCCGCGCTTGGCGCCATCTATTTCTACCGGGCTGGCTGCGCGAGCGGTTCGCGTGCGGTAGCCGAGATTGGCGCAAGGGCGCGCATTTCATCTTGTTCTTACTGTTAGTTGCTTTCCATGGCGTCGAACTGGCTCTTGAGGATTTTCGCGTTCGTTCTCATTCATGAAGGAGTAACTGATGAAGGCATTAAATTTATTTGGCGCTAATGTACGCCAGTTGGCTTAGCTCTATGACCACATGGTATTGAACTAGTCCAAGACCCAATTGTAACTAAACAGCTTGTTCGTTTTCTGAATTGAAAAAGTAGTGGGTTTGCGTAAATAGAAACCAAGGAAAGTTTTGAACATCCTGTCCTATCTTTATCTGAACTTCGTAAGTGTAAACTGACCACCTCTCCCTAACTTGTGTGTCTGCGATGACCTGGGGTTTCAATATCATATACGATTTCATCGTGACTAGATTGTTAGGAGGAAATGAGGAGCAGCCTATGAAGCTCTCACTACTTTTTCAATTTCCCAACAGCCGCCTAATCAAATGTCGGGCGAAGTTTACATGACACCAAAGCACCGTAATCCGTCTATAGAGTGGCCAATAAAGATTTGCGCTGCCTGAACGCATGATCGTAAGGCATTCCTTTGACTGCATCCGCAGTATGTATGCCAACATTCATATACCTTTGGCGTTCTCCTCTTGCTAAGATCGTTGAATTTAACGAATGTATAAAGCAATGGGAATCCTCATAGACCGTTATTTGACTTCCTATGAGCGTGCTGACATCTCCAACGCTGTCTAATGTTAGACAGTTGGAACAAGTACTGGAGTATTTTAAATGTGCTAACACGCTGCAAAAATGCTTAGTCAACATCGAACATCTCACACACAGTAAAACTCTTCAGCAAGTTACTTTTGATGTAAAGATACCACACTCCTTTTGATCTGAAATCACAACGAGTGAAGTGTTCGCATACCCTCATTGCAACATAGATATACTTGAAGCTAGATATAGATATTGTTGATGTAGAAACTTGACGAACATTTCCAGCTTCAAAACTTGGCTAGTGTTATCACCATACGCGCGAACATTGAATACTGATGTTCTGATGTAAATATTGATGTTTTGCATCTACTACGACTAACGATAATCGCTAATTTCAGCATTTCTGCAGCAGTTTGAGTTTTGATTCAGAGACAGAGATACAAGAAAGCATTGCATGACTTCGCGACGAATTCTACTTATGTAAGCTATGAGACCAGTCTCAGGCTTTGTAAAGAGGAAAACATTCAAACTGCGAGTTCTCAAAATGGTATGAACGAATGGTACAAGACTTGACAAGCTCATGTGATGGTTAAAGAGAAAAGATTTTCCATAACAAATCCAATAAAAGCAAAAAAAGGAGACATTGCTGACATACTACACAGTTTTACAATCAGTCATAGCATCCAATGGCGAATAAGTAGCTTACATATCATCGTCTATATTCCCTTACAAGCTGCGCTCCGTAATGAGTTCACTACTTCGTATTAGCAGTCGTGGTCCGATGAACTTCAAAGCCCGCCTGCACTCATGCAGGAATGCGCGCCCTCTCGCTAATCAGCAGCCGCGCGCGAACCGCTCGCGCAGCCAGCCCGGTAGGAATAGATGGCGCCCCCGCGCTTTGTCGGTAGAGCGCCGAATGCGGGCGCTCTAGTTGTAAGTATCTATTTCACTTTTTAGGGTTAGAAACGACCTGGCATTACGTGGGATATATGACTATTTATTGTAGTTGACTAGAGTGTCAAGAAAGTAACCGCTTAACTAGCGTTAAAGCCACTATCTCGACAGAATTTCGTTTTCCAGTTTTTCACTCTTTCGAGTCATTCCACCATGAGGAAACCATATTTGGGCTTTTCAGCGAATGAAAATGGCGAAAACGGGTGGAGGAACGAACGCCTCAATTAGGCCCCGCCTCCGCGGACCACTGGTCCCAACACGGTGCGCAACAGTAGGACGAAAGGACCAGCAGCCCGCGGAGGCGATGCCTAATTGAGGCGTTCGTTCTTCTACCCTGGCGAAAACGAACTTTTTCAAAGCTTTCCAGGTTCGCATCCCAGAAGATACGCCGGGATCTCCCTCGCTCCCCGCCTCGTTCCCCGCCCACTTACACTTATTTTCCACTGATCGGACCTGGAAAGCTTCAAAAAAAAAAAACTCATTTTCGCCATTTTCATGCACTGAAAGGCTCAGATATGGATTCCTCATGGCGAAAAGGCTCCGTAAATGTGAAAAACTGGAAGACGAAATTCTGCCGAGCACTGCCTTTAATCAGCGAAAGTGTGCTGGTCTTGATCGGAACAACAACTCCTTCTCAGAAAATACTCACAAAAATCAATTTGTTATCCAAATAAATAAGTAATAAAAGCAATTTGCAGTTTCAATACGAGACTGAGACCGTTTTGTGATAAACGCGCGTCCTGACACCTTACAGAAGAAGTTAAATGCTCAAAATAACATACCGTAACCTGCGCTCATTGCGCAGGTTTTCTGCGACACACCTTTCCAGCCCCGACTTCGCCTGCACATGTGTACAGTCTGCCCCAATCGGGATCAGGCCGAACGTCGGCTGAATTTGCGCGCTCGCAGCGCTAGAGGTTTGCGCTGCATACGCGCGCTGTCGCAGAGAGCGAAGAATCTGAGGAGAGAGCAGACTAGCTAGACGCAGAAGTGGCGCGAAACCCTCGCGACGCGCACTCCCGCCAAGCCAATTTTGGCCTGGTTAGGATTGGGGCAGACTGTACAGTCGAGTAGATTTAGCGGTAAATATAGTGTGCTTGCACAGAAGGTGAAATGCGGTGAAATTTGCGCGTGAACAAGTAGCCACGTCAGTACCGCGGGCATCTTGCGCGCGCAATTGGCCGGCGTCACAGTCGAAACTATTTCTTCACGCACCAATTTTACCGCATTTCACCTTTTGTGCAAGCATACTATATTTACCGCTAAATCTACTCGACTGTATGTCGTCATTTTAGCGCATTAAAGCTACGAGTTTGTCATTTTAGCGCATTAAAGCTACGAGTTTGTCATTTTAGCGCAGGAAAGCTACGAGTTCGTTTGCAGAGGGCGGGAGCCGTCAATGTTTCCTTTTGCTTTGGTGTCGCTGAATGCTTCGGTTAAATCGCTTAGTTTGAGGCATTTTTAATGGAGTCCTATACCGTTCACCATAATATTCACCTATATGAACAAGTTACAGCACCACTGCGGCACTAGTCAGAAGTTAGACATTGGATGGAACGCTTGTAACAGTGAGAGTTTCCGAAGCTCTCAAAGTCATTGCGACAATGTTTATCAGCTGCTCAAGAAGTTGATAAACTTTCCTCTGCTACAGCTAAGGTACCCATAGATGCAGATGTTGGAAGTGTGGTTGCAACCAGATCGATCATGGGGAAACCTTTGTAACAAAACTGTTGTTCTTGCAAGAGAAGAATTTATAATTGAAGTAGAGATTTACTTCCTCTTCTTGTGCAGACGCAATCCCTCTGTATAGCTATTTTGGATAAACTACCCTCTTCGGGTAGGGTTGCGCGGAAAGTTAAGTGATAATATCCCTTCGCTCTAGACAGTCTGGCAAGAAAGCTATCGTGTAGTATGCTTCTTCAAATTTCATTGCAGCTAACCAAATGTTTTTTTCTTCCAAAAGATGCATGGAATTTCTGAATTGTTCAAAGTACATGCGACGACCATGTCCGATCATGGTAAATGATACTTGCAAACGTCTAATCTTGCGGGAAAACGTTGCAAGCGGAAGTATCACAACATTTCGCTTCATAACAACCACTTTCTCACTCACTTGGAACGAAAACTTATCATGCAAAGAAATGTTTTTATCACCAACTATTTATAGACGTCCTTATCATAAAAAGGACTAGGTTGGGCAAGACAACACTTACCTAATCGTATTTGTATCCTACTACCTAGTGATAGAGACATATAGCAAGCAGTCATGAAACCATCCGCTCAATGTGTCTATCTCCCATCCGCCCATTTTGTCGCATATAGTTCGCATATCGCCGAAGTCCCTACATGAAAACGTGACCCAGCTTATTGAAGGACGCAGGTTACGGTATGTTATTTTGAGCATTTAACTTTTTCTGACACCTTACACCGACTGGGACAGGATTGAGACAGAGTGTATAAGTGGTCTAGCAGAATCGACTTTCAATAAAGTGTTCTTGCATTGCATACAACATTTAGACGTGAAAAATCGGACTTGCTATAAAAATCTTCAATGCAACAGAAATTTGGAGAAAATTGGCCGAAGGGTTTGAAGTTGCGCAGTATGATCGGGTCCAAGATTCGTGTAGAGGCGGATTGCGGACTTTCCCTGATTATCAGGATGAACTTGTTAACTGCCACGTTATAGCAATGTTTTTCGTACTCTCTCGCCATCAACAACTGCCACGCTTCGAGCTGCCACAATTCCGCCTTTACAAGAATCGTGGAGCCGGTGGTACTTCTTTGTCCCTAGGGCCTCGGACAGAGTTCGCGCGATTTAATCGTCGCGATTCATCGCTACAAGACAAGTGTTACGAGTTCATTGCATACCGATCTTCTTGTATTTCGGTTGTGATAGTTAGTCACGATTAGTCGTATTGGAAAACTATCACAACCGAAATACAAGAAGATCGGCATGCAATGATATTGTTACAGTTGTCTTGTCGCGATCAATCGCGACGAATGAAATCGCGTGGACTCTGCCCGAGGCCTACCGAAGAATTACATTATCTATGGGATGCAAAAAGAGACATGGTGTACCCTACGAGTGGCAAGTATAGCGAGTACGGCCAAAATGAAGCCAACCGCTGACTTCTGTTATTATGAACAACTTGGCTTCAAAAAATGCTTCTCATTTTCTACTGTTTTGTTTGTGTATTTGGCTGTTTAATGCAGCAAACTATAATTTTCGTGGCACTCTTTGCTAGTTAGGCCATTTTCACTTTTTTGGTCGAATCGTGAGCAGGAACTAATAATAACACATGATAATAGGTACAAGAGCAACCATTTTTTGATTCCATGGTTCGTTAAAATCCATCTCGCCTTTACTGCGACAATCGCGGTTAAGTCCGATCAAAACCACGTGTTTCCACACAGTGACTGCGGGCACAAGTAAATGGGTTCTAGGAAAACCGGGTTTCCTGCGTTTTGGTCGGAATAATACTGCGCGAATCTCGATATTGTGGCAGTGCAGTCAATGGCAGGGCCCGGCACGAGGTGGCTTTTGGAAGAAGTTTCCCAAAATTTTACTAAGTCCCCTTTGACCCTCAGCCATTATCCTAAAAAATCCTCAAAAAACGAAACGTCGACCGAAAAAACGCCGCAAAATTCGTATCGTTTCGGCCACAAAAACGAAACCCCATTTGCTTTTTGTCACAAAAACGATATTCAGCTTGCTTATCAAGCCACTTGTGCCGAGCCCTGAATGGCAGTGTCCGGGCAAACCGTGGGCTTTGAGATTTTTTGCTTACCTGCGGGCTGCTGAGGGCGATTTCGTGCAGTCGACTTTACACTTCTTGGCACGTCATAAACTAAAGTAGACTGCACAAAATCGCCCATATCGCTGTAGGCTAAATCCATGCGAGCGTGCCTGCAACGCGGCTGTTGAGTACGGCGCTATGATGAATCATGCGCGCGAATGCCAATGTTAGTCCGTAAGAGACATGCTCGCGGGTCCTCAACCTGGGTGATTCCGTGCAGTCAACTATAACTGCTTTAGCGTTATAATTGTCGCACTATCCAGTTATTGTGGCTCAAAAGGAAAAAACAAAGTATAACTGCTTTGTTGGCATTTTACCAACATTTTCTTTGTAACACTCTCGAATTATTGATCTCTTTTGTTGCAAATGACCGAACACTTTCTAGAAAAATGCTGCGTTTGCAATGTCTCACTTCTTATCTGAGTGGGACACCAGAAGATCGTTGTCAGATGGGAAACATTCAACGAACAAGGCATTTGCCAGTTTGCTTTGTAACTTGGACCGCGCCGCTGACCCGGAAATTTCTTTAGATTCGAAGTAAATTGAATTCAGATTCTGCTTTGTGAACAAGCGAAATTTCGTTCAACTTAATCGTTTGACGATTTCAATTCAAAATTGTCGTTACTGCTCTAGAAAAGACTTCAATTTTTTATCCCTAAATGAATTTTCAGCTAATTTCAATTTTTCATTTATTTATACATTCTTAAACTAATTTTTTGAATTACTAAAAAAGAGCGAAGCACCACAAGAGAAGATTGTGGCAATTCCAGTGGCCGTATTCATCAACGAACCCCGAGGGTTAAACTAACCCTGGAAAGCGTTAACTCGCATTCATGAAATACAGGGTAGGCTTAACCCTGAAGGTTAAATCTGACCTTGAGGGTTGATTTTACCCCGAAAGCGACTAACCCGTATTCATCAACGAACCGTGAGGGTTAAACTAACCCTGGGTTAAATTACGTGATTCATCAGGGTTAATTTAACCCTAGCTCAGAGCAAGGTTAACTCTACCCTAACACTTCATACAAACATTTACTCGCATCTAATAGTTTATGGAAAACGATCAACGAGGTAGTATTTAGTATTGGTTGTTGTTATAGTATTTAGTTTCGACTTCGTTTTATGTTCATATTCGAAGTACCTGAAACACCGACTTCGCGAGGAAAAGATTTCTAGCTTTGGTGACAAATGAATGCGACGAGGAAAAATGACATTCCTCTCTGACAAGTGCCAAAACAGAAGAACCCCTTTATAATATCACGCATTGACCCCTAAAAGAGTAGCACAAGCCCGGTATAAAACGAACTGCGCAAAAGTAGAACTTACACTGCACAATTGCACACATGAAAATAAACTCACGCTGTAAGATTGGATGCTGCACAAGTATGCTAGAGATGTATTATAAAAACTAGTCTTAGAAGCTTATTCGTTGACTATACTACTATAACAGTGAAAGAACAGAAGTATAAAGTGCCCGTACTTAGGCTTTCTGTGATGAGAGTTTGCACAGTGCACGCGTAACTGACGCCTTAACCCTCCAGGGTTGATGAGTTTGTTGGTTAGTTTATGGTTAGTTTAACCCTCAGGGTTGATGAATACGGCCACAGGTTCGTTGATCGATACGGGTAGATCGCGTTCCGTGGTAAACCCTGGCCTATGGTTGATGAATACGACCAATGAACCCTGGGGATTAAACTAACCCTGGAGGGTAAGCTTAACCCTCAGGGTTCGTTGATGAATACGGCCACAGGATATCCTTGGGGGCGGGAAGGACGGAGTAAGGGGCACGAAAAATTTTTTTTTGAATGATGGTATCAAAAATTTTTTGGATAGCTGCCCAATATTTTTGCGGACATATGAGCCCTAAACTTTGGAAAGGAGGTGTGCAGAGGCACGATACCGAAAACTTTTCAAAAGGCTGATTACGGATTTCTGAAAAATGTGAAAAACCATAATATACGTAGACACCAACAAATCACTTGCACATTTTGTTGTAAGTAACTTTCATAAATTTTGCAACACATTCTCTCCCCCCCCCCCCCTCCCTCGGTCAGCCATTGGAAGGCTTGAACACATAATCCGTGATTTGATTCGCGCAATTTTTTGCCCTTGTGATTCTTTAATCGGAAAATTTGCTAATTTCGCACTATACAGATAGCGGAATTCACGAGATCATTGGATCAGTTAAATCACGGAAGAGTATGGCTATTTAATAAGCCTTTTACTGGACAAATCCGATTAGCCGATTGGACTCAAGTAGATTGTGATTATTAGTCTCCTTAGACAACCGCTTGCTAATGAATGCCAACAATTTGCTTGCGAGTTGCGCATGAAAACTGGTCATAGGCGCAGATTTTGATAACGGTCAAATGTTGTCGGAAAAAAATAGTTAGCCGTAAAATTCACTGCGATAATTTCTAAGCTGAAAACCATTTTACACCAATGATTTGAGGTTTTGTATAAACTCTAAGCGGTTATAAGCGTATAAACATTTTTTTTTTTCGAAATAATTTTTGAGTGCAAAATCTCCTCTTTGCTCTTTTTCCCCTCTGCACCGTTATTCACCGCATTCTGACTTTCTGACATTTTTTTGTCTGTCGGATGATTTGCAAGGTTTCGAGGTAAACATGCAATTATGTGCGTGCCGTCGTGACGACGATTACAGTCTTTGAGCGACACACACGACCAACCTTCGTGTGTCTTTGTCATCGCTTCGAAAAAGGACATTTACGAGCGATTAGTCGACGAACCTGGATTAGTCAAGCCGAAGACACACATACCGAGGGTGTGTTACAGTCGACTAGCGTAATCGTCTCGAGACCGTAAGTTTAGTGAGAGTTTTTGTTGCTATTTATGTAGTACTGTTTTTTCACAGATGTAAGTTTCCAGACCTTGCTTACTATTCACATTCTGGTGAAATCTTATTAGGTTGAAGAAAAAAGAATGTTTTTTGTATTTTTCAACTAAAATTGTCATTTCTTATATATGTCTATTATTTATTTATTTATTTCGTAGGCATATAGGTGCGCTCTCAGAAATCCAACAAAAAACTGCATGGTACGAGGTAGAACATAAAGACAGCGAATTGAAAACAAACTAAATAATAAAATAAATAAATAAATTTGTAGATAATTGAATAAATAAATAAATAAATAAATAAATAAGAACACTAGGGTATATCCGAGGTCAAAACGTTGAGGTTGAAGTTTTAAAGGTTTGTGGTATTTAACGGCAAGAGTATTGGGGTGGAGTCTGCCATTATTGATTCTTTGAATTTTTCTTGTTTCCTAATAATGAGAAAATAGCAAGTGTACCTATGGACTGCATGTGTCTGCTACATGTAGGCGCACGTGCGAAGTTTGTGTAATTTTTTGGGGCAAAGAATCTGATTTTACGCAGCCCGAGTTGCTCTTATATTTTGGCTCTATATTTTGCGTAAATCTTGATTTTTGCCGATGTTTAGTCATCTTGTAGAACTTTCTTTGCTCCATCGAATGGTAACGCTCACAAACTTTTTTGGATTCGTCTTATAGCTTTGCTATAAAAAAAGACATTCTTTTCTTTCCAACCTAACCCTTCCTATTTTTTCACTTGCTTTTCATAATATAGTACTCCTTCACAGCCATGTTCAGCATAGCAAAAAAAATTTCATAACTTGCAGCCAATTTCTGCAAATGTAACGATAAAGCGACTATTTGGAAAGCTTTCTTTTCCTGCAGCTTATCGAAAAAATTACATTGGTACTCAGCTAAATAACGCAATCAATAATCCAAATAAATACTAAACATCCACTACCCAACCATTCTTCCAATTCCAGATGCGAACCATCCTTATCGCGTTGTGCATCGTCGCTGTAGCCTCTCCATGGGTGATTTATAGACGAAATCAAAAAAAGAGAATCATATGCAAGGTGGAATGATTGATTACCTTGAAAATCAATGCATGAACTCTTTTCGATCTAGGCCGAACCGATTACGACCAATGGAACCGCGGATGAAACTATGGAAGAGACACCTATGGCAGCAAGCCGAAGGAGGAGGGATATTGTCATTGATCCTGTGCATAAACAACCAATTATCTATCTTGATGTAAGTCATTTTCTTATTTTTGGCAATGTGTAGGCATATCTGGGATACTGCACTCCAAATACCAGCCGAGACAGCCTTCAAGCGCTGACCAATCAGCGTGCTAGAATACGGTAGAAAGTACGATCTGGGCCAAAGTTTAAAGTGGTTTTTCTCGGTCGCGAATTCATATGAGCTACCACAGTTTTTTCAAGAAAATTTTGCCGAGCAGGGCAAGGAATCACACTTTTTTGCGGTTCCCTAAAAAATTCGAAAATTTCAGAACAACTCTTCCATGCTCTTAGACGACGGCGACTTTGATATAGTCAGTGATCAGTTGACACCTGAAGAACTCAAAGAAGTCAAGCGAAGAATCGTAGACACTTGCAACGCTTTGAACTCGAATTGATCTGTATTTTACATTTATGTGTTTTATTTGGTGAAGATTTCTTTTTCTCATGTTCTACCCAATAAACAATTCGAAAATATGGTTAACAAGTGTTAGTTTTGCATGGTTAGGATCAGGTTTCTCTTACAAACACTCTAAATAGATGAGCTTATTAGATCGCTAAGTAATCTCGCGTAAGGGTTTTGGAGGAAAGAAATGAAAGAAAAATTGTCTGTATGCCAGCTGTTTCAACATTAATTTGCAGCATCCTTGTTATTTTTGAAATTTTGCGACGTAAATACGTGCAGTATCCGTAATTTTTTGGTGTTCAGCGAATTTCCGAATTTCGACTCACCAAATTTTTGAACCAATACATTATAAATACATGATATTATTGCTTCAAAATTACTTTGAAAAGCTCTCCTTTGTGCAGCCGTAGTTGAGAAATGCAGTAACGTTTAGGAAGATTATTCTTAGATGCTCTTGTCCAAAATCATTACTGGAGATCAGTCACAGTGATGACTGACTCATGCAACTGACCGGAACTTCCGCAGAACATTTGAGTAAGTCTCACCGGGTCACCTGCGGAAGTTCCGTAAAAGTGCTGCGGAATTTCCGAAGAATTTACTCTACTGACTGTGAGACTCACCTATTATCCTCTGCACTACGGCTGACATGATCGATAATGCGTTCTACTTGTTGGCGAGGCAACATCATACGAGGCAACACGTTCAAAACCCTGCGGAAGCTGGCATGTCAAAATGCTGCGGAACCGCTGGCGTTTTTCGGAAGTGCCGCAGCGCTTTGTAAAAAGTCCTGCGGAAGTCCCTATTTTCAACGTTCCACTTTTGCAATAGTAAACAAAATCTTGCGAAACCGCTGCAAATTTTTCTTGTCCAGTGGATGTTCCGGTGAATTGTTTGAGAAGGAGAAAATGAAAAAAATGCTTTATAAAAAAAATGAAGCCTGAGTTGTTTCACATTTACTACACTAAAATTGTTCATCAACGAGCGGATGACGAATAAAAACATACGCATTTCAAATAGCGTGGTCCCATTTTAATCTCAAAGTTCTTATACTCAGCGTTTCCCGAACATCCACGACGCGAAAGGGTCAGATGCTGACGTTGTATCCATAGGTAATCTACTATTTACTACAAGAACAAATAAAAAATTGCAGAAGTAACCTTGCTTAATTCAGGGACAATCAGGCTTCCATTCGTCAACATTCTAGAAGCTTTTATTCATTTGTTGCACTTACGAGTTTCGTGATTTCACAAAATTTGAGACCTATGACGAAATAATTTTGTAAAACTGAGGCAAATTTAGAAGTAGCATTAAATGAAAGGTTTTGCCCTCTATATATCTTTTATATTTTTTCGGGAAATTTATAGCACAAAAAATTCGAAAAAGATTAAGGAAATCTTGAGCAGATGGAAAACAGTGGTGAAGAACTGACAACTTGGAAACTTTGAATCAAAATATATATTCATAGAGCAAAACATTACTTACAGAAAGAGATTAACAGGCTACATCATTGCATGTTCACAAAATATTCTGTTGTCAACGCTCCATGTCTTGTAACCGCTCGAAAAAGCGACAAAATTTGAAGCAGCCCAGTAACTTTGAGTAGTTTATTGCTTTAGTACTGATTTTCAAGAATTATTGCAAGAGTTTTCCTCTTTGAAAAAAAATGGTCAGTTTTGGACGTCACCTAAGTTGCACGAAATCTCCACACAAAGATTCTTGATGGATCATGTTGCTTAGCACATAATTTTATTATGCGAAATCTCAAAGACTTAGCAGTGACTAAGAGTTGTGTTTTCCACTTTTTCACCTTTTCGAAGCCTCTTCGCCATGAGGAATTCATACCTGGGCTTGAAAATGGCGAAAATGAGCTTTTTCCGGCGCTTTCCAGATCCTTATCCATTGGAAATACGTGTAAGTGGGTGGGGGCTTGGAACTAACAAGGGAAGGATAGTTGGATGCCGCGGCCATTCCTAATGATTTGTATACCAAAAAATGCGCCTTCGAATGCAGATTCTGAATCTGTGCTCGAAATCTGCGAAGCGATCTTTTGAAGAAAGTTATGAACTTTTTTCCTTGAAAATTTAGCCTACTTTTGGATGGTAAAAATCACCAGTTTTGATCTAGCCTACCGTTTGATGCTACTGAAGAAAATTTTAGACGTAGTAATATTTATTTAGACTATCTGGATCATACTCAGCATTTGGAAAGGAGAGAAAATTTTTTTATTGATGATTTTGACCCTCCGCAGGAACGCAATTTTTTTAATGAAAAAAATCATAACTCCATTCAGATTATCGTTTCGCAGATATGAAAGACAGTCTACGAACCAGCATTCAAAAGCGCATTTTTTGGTATACAAATCATTATGAATGGCTACGGCATCCAAGTATCCTTCCCCTGTAAGGAGGCGGGGCGGAAGATTCCCGCGTATCTTCGCTGCGGACCTGGAAAGAAAAAGCTCGTTTTCGTCATTTTCATGCGCTGAGAAGCCCACGGACTATGGATTCCTCATGACGAGAAGGCTCCGAAAAGGTAAAAAAAACTGGAAAAATATTTTGTCGAGACACTACCTCCAATGACTTTCGCTCACTCGCGCAGTATTTGATGGCTCCAGCTCTTCGGATAGCTTCTCTTTTCTTTATTATAAAGGACGCATGGTTCTGATACAGGAAATTCCTAATTAAAACCGCTTTCTTGCAAAACCTCTGTTTTTCCGCACGCGTTTTGGAAACGGACCGCAGAAGTGTGCAAGCTATACACAAATGCTAGAACATTCCGAGGTGAGGGTCACACTTTTTACGAAAAACTGAAAATCGCTAGCGCATAGCGCTTTTTTACAATAGAAAGGCATACAAAACTTACCAAGTTCTACGTTCATTACAACCTCTATACTGGGCGACATGTTTTTATCTTACTTATCCATTTTGTTTTCCGCCCCGGGTTTGCTGTTATGTTTTTAGGCATGCTTCTCCCACTGGTACTCCTGGGAGTAGCATGTGCTTACGGCCACCATGTCGGCCAAGAGTCAGGTTATGGAGGAACCCAGCACGAGGTTTGCGATAAGGAACAATCAGCGCAAAGAGATGGACAATCTAACCAGGTACGGATTAGGAATAATCTAGGGTCCGATACGAGTCGTAAGTTTTTTTCAGGGCGGAGGTGGAGGAGGTGGAGAAGAGGCAGCACAGAGCCCAGTTGCTGCTCCTGCATCTCCAGGGAGCGTTGCTGCTCCTGCACCTGCTCCTGCTCCAAGGAGCGGCTACAACCCGTTTACAGTACCACTACAAGCTCAGTCAAGTCCATTGTTCTTGGAAGCTCCTCCAATGGTCCAAAGTAGCCCTCAGGTGAGCTGACCACTATACTATTGATAGTCTTTACCCTACGACTGCTTTTAGTCAGGAGGAGGGGGAGCTCCAATGGCTGCCGCTCCGGTAGATGAAGCTGCAGAATTCGGCGTTGTGCTCACACCTATAGGTGGAAATAATGGAGGTGGTGAAAGCAATGGCCCCGTGGCTTCCGCACCTCTCAGTAGTCAGGTAGAAATAAAAAAATTATGTGCGTTTTTGTGGTATTTTCATAAATCAATCCCTGAACATTTATCAGGGCGGAGCAACTGATGGAGACAGGTCCGGACAACAAAGCGGCGGATATAGACGTTTCAATCGCCATATGATGCAGATTTTCTAGACTGTCAAAGTCTCAATCAACAGTATTTAATGTACTAGCCGTACTGCATATGTTCCTATGTCATTGCTATTCTCTTTGCTCCAATTATTCGTGTACATTCCTTCCGGATCCGAAATTTCCTGAATTAATTATGGCAGAGTTGAGAATTTCATTTGCAAAGTCCTAATTATCATTGCATTGCATCAGTATACCTATCATTATTCAGCTAATCAAATCTCCAGCTGAAAATTTACACGATTTTTGCTAAGGGCATTCTCGTAACCCACATCTTCACTTACCTTTCCGACCATTGGCTAGAATTTGTCGCGAAATTTTTGCTTATGTGGTATATAAAAATGTACAAATAACTTGTTTCTAGTAGTAATTAAACAAATAATTTTTGGAATAGTTTATGATTGGTGCGTAGCGTTAAATACATCACCGCATCGTTCATCCTAAGTCAGGGGTCTTGAGCTTTGGCAGCATACGTTAGTACAGCCCCCTATTAAGCGAAGGCCCAAGTCGCGGCTCAAAATTTTGCTTCGGAAGCGAGAAAATCTCTTCGGAATAGCGAAGAAACATGAGGACCTCAAGTCGGCAGTGCCATCTCCACTAATGCCCGCCCATCCGTGCGCGACAAATGGCGATCATTGAATTTTAGACCTAAACACAAATGACTGTCAACTTAAGTTCCGCCCATTTTCCACTGATTATATTCCTGTTGTAAGTGGTCGTCACTTCTTCATTGCCAACTAGTTTTTACCTCTATGTTTCAACATTGAGCAATTACAGAATTTCGAAGATATGCACTGAATGACTGTCAACTATGAGCCCCGCTCATTCAGATTACCACGATTGAGCCTTTATCTGGACCCCTTGACATTAAAATGGACTGGCTGTATAAAGATTTTTGAGATTGTAGAAATTCGTGCGAAACTATGCATGAACTGCAAGCTCAGCCCACTTTTGAAACACGTTCTCGTGGGAGGGAAATTTTACAGAGAGACGATAGCTGAAATTCGCTAGCGCTATCGAAGGTTATCAGATTTCATTTTGTCAGTCAAAAATGATAAGTTGATTACATCATTGACAAAAAGTGAAAAACACGGCTGATACTGCTACGATACTCACCTACGATATATTTCTGTTGGCGTCGCTTTGTGCGGATACCGTAGCATTACGAGAAGAGTCATTTTGCCTTCATCTGAAGTCTTCATTTACGTTTTACGAAAAGGATTTGTAAGGGTTAACCTAATACATTATGTAGATAAAGATTTTTGATTGACATTATTTGATAGAGCAGCTTCTCAAATTTTTCAACCGCCCAACAGAATGCCAAAAGTCTTTTAAGTGAAGGCGAGGCTAGCAAATTTTGAAGAAATATATAGTTCTCTAAAATTTATTTACCGTCTCCCTACAGAAAGAAGTTATCTCGAATCAGATGTATTTCCTGTAAACAGGTCGGATAACATCTATGTCTAAATTTTCCAAAGAAATAACTCGATTTTTTCTCTTTCCTCGCTCGGCCTAGCAGGATTTGGTTGAAATGTTGATGAAGAATTTTGAAGAAATATATAGTTTTCTAAAATTTATCTAGTTTGTTTAGTTTTCTAAAATTAATCTTGGATTGACCGGTTTTGAGTGGTTTTTAGTTCCGATCATTACGAAAACAGTCATTATCTCGCACTAGAGTGGTCTTACAGTGAAGCTAGGATGAGATAGAGGTTCTTTCAGTTGTCAGATAATTTTCCAAAAGTTTTGAGTTTTTAAAAATCCCACAACCAACTGCAAAATTTGCAGAAAACTGAGGTTCTAAAACTCAATCATCACTATACATTAACCATAGTGAGCGAGCAATTTGACCTTCAAATATAATATGAAGATTTCGAAGCTTATCGTACATCATTGCGTACTCATAAATTGAATACTGGATCCCGCAAATTTCGCGTGTTTCGCCAAGAAGAAAGAGTTGTCAGAAAAAAGAGAAAAAGCTGCATCGAATGGTACTTGAACTGCTTACCATTTTATGTTTTGCGATATTGGAATACCGAGTTTGAAATTTGGTTACTTAAAAATTTTCTAAAGATTCTGTAAGACAGGCCACAGAGCTACAAGAAATGCTCAATCGGGATTTATCTGCTGGCTATCAAAGCTTCCTCAGTCTCGAAATCTCGAAAGTTCGACATGGTGAGAACAGGGTTGTAATCTCCAGCGATTATCTCAGCACTCTCCCAATGGGTCACATTGAGATTATAGCCACTGAAAAGAGGAAGAAATTCTGCATCGGATTTAGCTTGAAATATTTGTTTATCTTCACTGTAGGAAATTTGTGGGTCATTTCACAATAAAATGACAAAACCAAAACCTTTGCAGTGACCTAATAAACAAGCTTTGCTATTACTGTGTGTATGGACAAGTCTATGAAAATAGTACTGACTATCGAGCCTGCCTTCCTTGAGGTTTTCTTCGAAAAGACGTTTTGTCGATTTCTTTCCAGTTTCTACGCAAAGTTTGTCCCACATAAAGTTCGGAGACAAAATTTTAAAAAGTTTGAACTCCTCAAAATGGAGGAAAATCGCATCTCCTTTCTAAAATTCCCATGAACTTACTTCATTCGGAATTTATACAGGATGCCCTAAAACTATACATGCAATGCGCTAATGCTTCTCTTCCCATAAAGCCTTTTGCCGACTTTCAAATAGTATTATGTAGAGCTGGCATCAACTTGCGTTTGCAGTATAGAGGCACTATCGCTTCAGTGTTTGATTGCGTTGGGCATTTTCAGCGCACTGCGCTATTGTGAGCTTGTTGCCGTTCTAAATAAATCCCAACTTGACAGCTTTATAAAAGAGTATTACAGTATGCTTAACCCACTGACGGCGACGCCTAATATTGGCGGCAGCGTTGTGGGACGATGCGATCTTGCACAACACTTTCAGCGTGGGAAGTTTTGTGGTTATTTACGAAATGCAAGGCTGTTCTGAACAGCTATCGTCGATTCGTTGACCGCACGGACTGCCTACCTAAACGCTGCGGACTACGCGCGGCGCGGCTGAATTGTTGCAAGAGCACAATTTGTACAATGGCGGATTTGTACTGGGGCAAGCGCTTTACCTGCGGCGCGTGCTCCATAGTGATGTCCAGTCCGTGCGGTTAACGGATCAACTATACAAACATTCTTTGAACACGGAGCCTACAGGTCCCAAGAGTGCAAAAGATTGAAAGAAAAATTGGTATGTGGAAAAACTAGACCTACAAATAATGAATTTGCAAGAGGTGTGGGCCACCGGTGGTCCACATCGTCGTCAATGGGTTAGTAACTTAAACATGAAGAAATGCGTTGAAGTGCAAATCTCATACTTAGAATCAGCGATTCTGGTTGGCCTAGTACAAGAGTTTCCAAAAGATTTGTTTTGCTTTCTGGGACTAAGGCCGTCAATGGCTCAAAATCTCAAACCTTTACCGTAACCCCAGAGTGATAAAAAGTGGTCGATGGTCTTCTTTATACTGTAAAGCTAACCTGAAGCCAGCTCTACAGAAATGTGCTTAAAGAAAAGCAAAAGATTTTGTGGGAGGAGAGATACTGAAGATTAAACAGTGCATACATACTTTTGGGCATTAGCGAAACGAGGGAGAGGTGATAGGAGGGATGGGGAGAGAGGTCAGAAGGGGAGAGGGCGCCCCCTCCGAAAATGGGTCTCGAAATCTTTAGAAGTGACTTACATGAGTAACAAAAATGTGCAATGACTTGTTTAATTTTGTGAATAATTAAAATAGTTGTTGAAATTTTTCAAATCAAAGTTAGCCTTGTAAAAATTTTTTTCGCCGCGTGGCTGCCTTCACGCCCCCTTTCCTTTACAGCACGATACGACTGCAAGTGACTTCGAGCACTTGGAACATCAATGGAGAACAGCTTTGCAGGATTATCTTTCGAAGTACAAGCAAGAAGATATGGTAAGCAGCCGAGGGAAGAAGAAGTCTAGAATAATTCCGAGTGAAACCTGCAAGTGCACCTCATATCATTGGCAGGACTGCTGTACGAAGACGGAATCACGAAGTTTTTCCAATGGGGAGGATTCATCGCAAGGTACTTTCGTGCTAACCTGTATCAGTACATGGGGAGTTACCGGGGATGAGCAGCAAAAACTTTAAAATACAACAAAGGAAATTGGTGGCCTTCGCCTTGCACTTCTTAAATATTGTAAACCTACCGTATAACCTTATGATAGCAAGCAATGCGTTTCCTATCAGCAGCATTGTTGATGATTTCTGTATCATCAACCATTGATGAACGCTATATTCTACATAGCCTACGGAATCCCCATAGGCTAATTGGTGAGCTACTCACTCCTGAGTATCTGATCACTCAAGAGTGAGTGGTACCCGTGCGCCAGGAGTGTAGCCAATCGGCGGCATCTCCTTTCAAGCACCACTCGCGTACATTGTACCCTGTGCTCGGTTCAGCTCCGCCTTCCTTCGTATATAAAGAGCCTCCGAATGTATAAGAGGTTCCTCCCCGGTTAACACCGGGACACCTCGACAGATCGCTCTCAACTAATTTACGTCAGTGCGAATAAATCTATATTCCACTTCGTCCACCCCATTCACTTGGTACACACCAAATTGGTGCATCGGCCGGGAACTTCCTTGCATTTCCCCTCGGAAATCAAGGCCTACAAGACCCGCGTGGCAGGACACTGAATATTGAACCTCTTGTTGCGCGCTCTTTTCGTGAGAGACCCGAGAGCAGTAGAAAAAACAGTTGTTGAGCAACACCACTGAATATTGACACCCTCCGCGCGCTCTTTTCGCAAGAGACCAGAGGGTAGTAAAGGACCAGTCGGCAGACAACTCCACTGCAAATTGAACCCCTCTCGCGAGCTCTTTTCGTAAGAGATCAGAGGGTAGTAAAAGACCAGCTAGCAGGTAACACTATTAAATACTGAACCTCTCGTTGCGCGCTCTTTTCGTAAGAGACCCGAGAGTAGTAAAGAAAACAGTCGGTGCAAAACTCCTGCAAA